GTGTGTTAAATTCAGTTTATGGGGTGGCAACAGTTAAGTAACAATCAAGCCATCTGTTGGTAGGTAACACAAGTTAAACACTGCTAGTAATGATGCAAAATCTGGAGCCATTTGTATCCATATCCCCTCCTCTCAAATCAAATATCACAGGTGGATGGTAAGTACACTGAAAAGTTCTAGATGTTCAGGGTTCAAATCTCAGCCTATATACCGACTATTCTGATTGCCTTAAAATAGGCCACATCCTCATCCGTTATAATTCTTAAATTTCAAAATTGTCCTACCATTTATGTGATGAGATTTTGGGTTCTCACAGCAGCGAGTATGAATCTGTCTGTCTTCTGGGATGTTGTGCCATGTAGACTTGTAGATGATTACTGACGTTTCAGAAGTGCTTGTTGCCTCCATCATCAAGGTGCCTCATATATCATATGTGCTTCCATTATCAGGTTCAGCAAGCACCTCTGAAACATTAGCTAACTTATAGCAGACTGCATCTCAGAAGACAGCCATCTTCAGTCGTTTGATTGTTAAGTAAAGTAAATCATTCAATCCAGCCTCACATTCTACTTTCCTGAGGCCCATCTTAATATTATTGTTACTATCTTCTTGGTCATTGAAGTGGCCGCTTTTCTCCTGATTTCCTTGCTAAAATGAGTGGTGGTTGTTGTAACAATAACACATAAAATATGCTTGAAAGTGGTGCATGAAGCTATCACAATGATTTACTCATAAATTTTGTGTTAATAATTTTATAGTAGATTTCTGTCTTCTGGGTTGTTGCGCTATGTAGTCTGGTCGATGTTAACCAACGTTTCAGAGGTCTTACTGCCGCCGCTCTGATGACGGAGGCAGTATGACGTTTGAAACGTTGGTAAACATCGACCAGACTACACAGCGCAACAACCCAGAAGACAGAAATCTTCATACTCACCGCTGAGATAACCTCAAATCTTACAATAAGTAGAACTTGAGGCTTTCATTGAAGATGGCTGTCTTCTGGGTTATAGTGCTGTGTAGTCTGGTGCTCATTACCCTGTTGATGGAGGCAGCAGGGACCTCTGAAACATTGGTAAACTTCTACCAGATTACATGACACTACAACCCAGAAGACAGCCATCTTCTATTTCATAACAATACAGTATGCAGTTCCCTGTGTAAGATTTTTAATACAAACACAAATACTCATGAAGATAGCAACAATATTCTTGACATATGTTTACATTTTTCTTTGCTATATTAATTTAATTAATTGTAATGAATATTTTACATAGTAAGAAGTAAAAGAATTAAATGTTGTGAACAGGGAAGTGAAATGTCTGATGCCGCAGGTTTACGTCACTTTCCATCTAGGAATATCGAATATTTGACATTGCAAACTCATATTTAGGTGATAATTATTGAAAAGTATGGTATACTACTTTGTAATGATGGGTTTGGAGCATCCTGTAGGGACTTAAAAAAATGTGTTTCTGTGTTGTTAATTTGTCATGAATCTTGATTTGAATGAAGAAGATTTTGTTCAAAAAAATAATAAGTGAATACTGCAAGCAAATTTAAGTCAGAAGTTTGTTGTTTGACTTTTGTAATGCTGAATAAGTGACTTGATGCAAGTTTCACTCAGAATGATATTGATTCATTCACCACTGATTGACAAGAAGAAATTAATTATTGTCTTCCGGACATTATAGAAACTGGTATAAAATGACTAAACAATTAAGTTTGGCGTTGTATTGTTAGTTGGCTTTATGTTGTCTGTTAATTTGTATCAGATTTTGAATGGATATGTAAACATTGCTTGGAGCAGTGTGGATGAAGAAGTGAGAAACATTTGGTATCTTACAGCAGTGGTCCCCAACCTTTTTGTGCCTACGGGCACATTTGAGAGTTTATGAGATTGTGGCGGGCGCCAACCAATTAACAAAGCCAAATTTTCTTTTCTCTGGACAAATAAGATATGGACACCAAATAATACACAAAACAACACGACGTTTAATGATACAAGAAACCACTTGATCAAAAATACTTAGTTTTATAAGTACGATTATTATTACTCAAATGGGAAGTTAGTGTGATGTTTGGCGATGCATTTCATTGGCCAGTTTTTCAAATTTGGGAGTGTAGGATGATGATGCTGCTCGCAAACAATCGCCAAGATGGGCATCAGTAAGTCGAGATCTGTGCTTTGATTTTATAATGTTCATGGTTGAATGGCCTTCATTATTCAGTATAACCTCTTTACGTAACAACGCGGGCACCAAAAAAAAGCCTTGGCGGACACCGCGTTGGGGACCACTGGCATACAGTATAGTAGTAACACTGTTTCAGAATTGAAGTGCATTTTAAGTGTATAAGTGTGATGCATTTTAATTGGCAGTATTGTTTCAGGCACCAAACAGTATACAACCAAAGTTCAAGGTTTTTAATGCTGCTGCTTATTGCTTGTTGATGACATGGTTCTTGGGTCTACTCAGCGTTATTCTATTTTCCAAGAACTGGTCAAAGTGTTACAGATATACTGGATCATTAAAAATATTTATTGTTTTGTATTTATATATATCTGATACTTGTTGAATTGGTTTGAAGGCTTAACATAATTTCTTGCTAAATCTTGCAGGACAAACAGTATTTTACATCGGAGCTTAGAGCGCGATGGGATAAATAATTTATAATACACGTATTTTTGTATGTTTAGCTGTTCATGAGAAATTTGTTGAAAGAAAACTTTGGCTAAGACAGTCTAATTTGCAGTAAGAATTGAAAGAACTGCAGTCTCTATATAATTTATATTAGCAGAAATCAAAAATTTGATTTCAGAGTATGGAACGTCCGCATGGTAATCATAAAGAGGCATCTTTCTACTCTTGTTTTAAGCAAGTTATTTATTAATCATTACATGTCATTAACTTCTATCTCCAGTTTTTTAACTGCAATAAATTTTGGTAGAAACAATATTTAAAAAATTACAAGATAAACTTCAGTTGTCAATGAGATTTCTTGACATGTCAGTGGATACTCTTTTTCATGTTATTCTTGACATTCTAGTCTTTTGCCATCATTGTCTTCTCACCCGGATATTTCAGACTTAATATACAGCGTTTTGTTTGTGTCACTTTCGATCTGATTTCCGCCGTGAGGTAACGATATCTTTCATGGGTTAACTGCTATGTACCGGTCTGACCAAGGTTAGCACAGTATGTCACAGAACCAGCATAGATTTATGTTTTATGTCAACATTTCTTCTCAAAAACATAAATCGCTATCACACAGAAAGTCAGCAGAAAAGTACACTTACATTTAAGGTACATGTTATGACTACTTTGCTGGACTTTTCAGGTGGCCTTAAATGTGGTTGTCGTACGAGGCAGTGTGGACATGGGCCCGCTTTCTGTGATTTTTAAATGATTCATTGTCGTAGGTTTCAATATTGCATTAATTCAGTACAATTAAATGAAAGATTAATTTAGCGGCCCTTGCTGCCTCCAACGTCAGGGTGATCGAGTGGGTGAAACGTTGGTAAACTTCTACCAGACTACATCACACTGCGTCCCAGAAGACAGCCATCTTCGTATTACTCCTGCGAAAACCTCAAAATCCTACTGTGATCACAATGGACAGAGTTTGAGCATTCCAATATATTTGTACTGACCATTAAAGGGATGAAAAAAAATTAACTTTAGTGTATTTTTTGCCTTGGGTTTTAAGTAATAGTTAAACTGAAATATTGTAATATCAAATGTCGAATTTTGGTTGGAAAGCATGAAGGGAAGAGACCATGTGGAGGATTAGCCATAGCTTGGAGAATAATATTAAAACGAATCTTATGGAAGTAATATGGTAAAACTGGGAATTGGTGACTGGCTCTTCTGAACACGGCAATGAACCTTTTGGTTCCAAAAAGGCAGGGAATTTCCTGATTATCGAAACTTCTCTTCTGCGTGTATTTAGTTGGTACGCTTTACTGTCGAGTGATTGGTATTCCTGATTCGTATTCGAGAAGCTCCGAATTTTGTTTTTCTGGCTGAGGTTTTAGTGAGTTTCCTAATCTCTCCAGACAAATGTATCTTATTTCTATACTGTACAGTCAGGTTCCATTAGCGTCGTTAAATAACTACACATAACAAGGCCTTCCTTGATCCCTTTGGTAAATACGGAAATAGTGCCTCAAATAAGCCACGGTCGTTTTCCTCTGTACGGTTCGCAAATCATCTTCCCACACAAACTTAAAAACCAAAGCAATTAAGAAAGTGTCGTTAAATAAAGAAACAAAAAAAGACCCTCGCTGTTCGGTGTGCCCATTCGCTCTGCCATTTCAATACATAATTTCCCTCAGCGTCTTTTTAAGCGGCAGGAGTCTGATTAGCGTTTCGAGATCTTGGCAATATTATTATGTAGTCTTCTCGAGTACCTCACTGTATCAGAACGATACAAATGCCAAGAAAGAAATGGAAAATTATTGCTGCTAATTTTCATTACGTTATAACACGCACAATTAATGCAAATGTGCATAAAAATGTTCCATTGTTTACGGCAATTATCAAGCACGGGGTGTCAACTCGTACGCCTCTTCTGAGTTTTAATGTTTGTATGATTCAGTCATTTCAGTATCTTTTAACCTATATTGAATCAAATATGTAATGTATACCTACTGATTGCTTCATGGTACCGGAACGTGTTTTGATATTAAGCTTTTTTATTCGGTTTTCCCAAGTCTTACAGAAGCCACAGAGCATTCCGTGATTTCAATGATTCGTTAGCGGTCAGTGATTGTACACAATTGTTAGATACGGCATTGTAATGAAGAAAGTCACATTGCCTGCAAGGTGAGAGGTTGCGTTCAGAGATAAGAGAAGACACTCCACAGAAAGATAACACATTCTTTGATCCGGCTTTGATCCCTAGCAAGGTCAAAGCTGAAATAAAGGAAAAATATTTTGTTTCTATTATGATGCTTGTGTGACATTCTTAGAAACTGTCTCATCTTTACGTAACATACTTATATCACGTGAAATCAATATTATTTTTTGCACAACAGTAGGATTTGAGGTTTTCACGGCGATGAGTCCGAAGATGGCTGTCTTCTGAGTTGCAGCACCGTGTATCCTGGTAGAAGTTTATCGACGTTTCAGTTTAATGTATATTAAAATGAAGCCACGACGTTTTAAGGGCTGGCTCTACCCCTGTCTTCAGGTGCTTTCAATTAGCTCTTCTACACGATCCAAAATTTGAGTTTATTATTATTATTATTATTTTAACGTCGCCTTTAAACTGCATGAGCTTCCATGTTTAATGTACGTTTTTATAAGCTCTTGTAAGACAATAAAGCTTTCGGAACAGAAGTAATTTATAGAGTTTCTTCCATAATAGGGTCTAAAATCTTTACGTGTCACCGTGCTCATGAGAAGTAGAGATTGTATCTTGTTGCTATTATTGGCACATGCGAAAATTTATAGCTGTATTAGTCATTCTTATCTGAAGCTAAGCGTGGAAAGATAGTGAGTAACCGACGTCAATGAATAACAGCGTAATTAATTACCAATAAACAACTGGCCGACTAACGTAAAGTAAGGCTGCATCCAACGCAAAGCTATCTACCTACTTCCAGCCGTTCCTGCACTCAAATTCTTGTTTTACCACAGTCTCCGTGGAAAACGGAAGTTTGTAAGTTTAATTTCGCGCTCCTTACGTCTGCGCTAAGTACGTTCATCTAGATATTTTACTCTGGTACTGATTCTGTAGGCCTTTGATGAAATTTGGTTTCTCGACATGTGGTTAGTATTTATTTTTTATTTATTAGTGTTCTGTCTGACGACAGGTCCATATGAACAGGATCCTTCCATCCTTTTCTCGGACTGGGACCTGTTCATATACGTTCTTGGCAGATGATCCAGAAGTGGTTTGCCATTGCCTTCTTCTGTGTGTGAATGGAGTAATTGTTGGGATGCCACGGAGAAACCGGGGAAGCCCCCGGAGGAAAACTCCGTGATGCCTAGACCACGACCTTGCCTAACACAAGTTATAAATTCGGGCACCGCCGGGAATCGAACCCGAGACCCCAGGATTACAAGGCCAGCGTTCTAACCGCTAGACCACCGTTAGTATACTGATTGCTAAAGGAAACCTCTCTCTCTCTCTCTCTCTTTCTCTCTCTCTCTCTCTCTCTCTCTCTCTCTCAGAACAGATAATTTTTATTTTAGCAACGACCAATGACGAGAACGTAACGACCTCCGACCCTTTCCATGCTAGTTCTTGTTGAAAAAAGTCTTATGTTATCACGTTTCCATAGAATATCTGAATATGGCAGTCTTCCGGGGTGATGCGCCGTATAACCTGGTAGATAATGACTGACGTTTCAGAGGTGCTTATTGTTTCCATCATCGCCCTATTGATCACACTCGTCACCATAGTAACCTGAAATATTTAGCTATAACAGTTCTGGAATGAAGGGAGACTTTTTCGCTTTTTTAAATTACCGCATCAGTACAGAATGGATATCAGTGCTCTAGAACGAGTTATCTCGTGCATAACATGAAAGTAGTTAAATTTATTGCACTTTCCTTACGGATTTTGATCGCGAATATAGTATTTCTTACGAGTGACAGGGAGGGACCTAAACTGTGGAGAAAGATGACTATAATTATGAAAACTCCCGGAAAACTAAAAATTGGTTTGGTTTCATCCAGACATGTAAGCATACATTTATTTAAACGTGATTCTTAGATCGTATATGCTCCATATCTTTCTGGAATTTTCCTTATATTGAGGTAATAGTTTATCCGTAGATAATATTAAATTAGATCCAATTGAGTCTCCTACGGCGACTGCTGTAGCATTCGGGTTAGACAACAACAATTATTCATTAACTAGCTGTTCTAAAAGTTGTCATTATATAAGACGTTTGTGGGAAATTCTACAAGACACGTCATAGTTCGGTGAGTCGCCGTCTATGAAAATACAACAGAAAATATTAAGACGTATACCTATTTATGTACTTATCAGCTGTCGAAGAAGTTCCGATAAAAACTTTTATTCCTTGGACTACTGACGTAAATACTTCAAACGTCGTTACATAAAGTAAACAACTGACTGATTATAATGGAATATTCTGCTTATTCAGTTAAACATTCACATAAATCGAAATATTCAAATGATTGATTCATATAAGCGTATTTTAAGGGCGAAAATTCTGTTATGTATGTATATATATATATATATATATATCCCCTTAGGGACCCACATTAGTGGGTACCGGGACTGGCATCCCCGAGGTACTCGAGCTACTCAGTGCCTGGGGGTATAGCTGGGCCACCCTACCTCCGGGGGCTGTAAATATGGAGGTCTGGTCCTCCCTTCTCGGTAGCAACAAGTCCGAGAAACTGGGAAAGAGCGAACAACAATATCGTGATTCTATATAACCTGCTTTGTGGTTGAGAAAGAAAGTACTCTCATACGAATAGGAAGGCTTACTCCAAAGCTCTTTGGGTTGAAGTACAGACATCTTTTAGTGAAGTCTTTCAGCAAGAAGGCTCTCTGAAGATTACTTTCGTGGTTTTTCTCAGTTATTCTGGACAACTGGGATAGTGTCATAATCAGACCACGACGACTTCCTGCCATTTTTTTTTCAAATTAATTATTTATTCCTATCATTTGACACTGTATAGCCTGCGCTACTTACAGTGTCATTAATTACATCATTTGGAAGTAAATATAATGAAAGGCTAGAAAGAAGATTGCCGGCCATATTCTAACTTCATGTTTCCCGCATAATATGTGTAGGAAGTGGGACTGGTTTCAGATGCATCATTGTTACATTATTTAGGTCATGCTATTTGCTATATTTTTGTTTGTAATGCAGTGATATTTGTCCTTAAAAGAATATCACAAGACACTCTATGATAAGGCAAAAAACCGGCGAAGGCAAATTTTCGCGGATGAATACATATATCACGTAGATGTTTCGACTATCGAACTCTTGATTGGTTGTAGTGGCGAGATCGTGTCAGTGCGACGACTGCGAGGCGTAATGGCAGCATCCGGCTGCAGTTCTGGTGTAGTTGGAAAGAACAATTCGAAATAATGTTTAACGATTTTTATACTGTAGTCATGATCGTCACATAAAAATCATAAGTGACTGAAAATGTCTTCCTACCGCAGTAGTGTGTTGTTATCGTTAACGCTACTTATTTGCCTGCACCGAGCAGCTGTCCATGGTGAGTTGATAACATGAGAGTGAACTGCATTTGGTAGTTACATTGGTGATGATTGAGAAAATTAATTATTGTACATCTTAGACCGTATGGATTCAGCGGACTTATGTATTCTTTAAAAAATGAGTGCAGAACAGTTTTTGCATTAGCCATTTTTGTTTACTCGGTTTTGTAGTTTTAAATTTTAGTATAGTTAGGCCTAAGTGGTAGAGTTAAATATTGATTCACAGTTTGCTAAACTATTCTTCATTTTCTACACTTTGGTACTTCAAAGCACATGGCCACAAAACAACAAACTGAGAATCTCTGAAAAGTATCTGTCAGGTAGTCCTTTACCTTCATAGTATGTTTCTGTCAGCAACATTCTTTCCTAGTATGTATAATTTTCTATTATCATTTTTGTATTGTACAGTTTTTAGTGGCAGATCTGTATCATATACAACAATGAACAGGTATTTTAAGTATCTTAATCAAGAAGGTGCTATTTTTAGGTGTTGGCTTGATGAAAATGACTGTGCTAAACTATTTAAATTTTAGTCTTTGGTATATGTGTCAGTGCCTGTAGGGATGTGATGATGTTCATGTTACAGTTACAAAGTTCGTAATTTAAGAATAAGGATGTTGGAAGTCTCTACTGATTCACTGCTAGATGGCTCTGGCAGTCAAATCAGGATTGAGTAGAAATTGTGCAGTCAGTGGGCTTGTCACTCACTACACATAAATGCATGCTTCAAAGACTAAGACACCTCTGAAAGGAGGCGGCAATGACCCATTACTGGGTTAAGCTACTAATAGATGTTAACTGTTTAATTACATAGATTATGGCCGTGGTATTATGGTAAAGAGCTTTGACTCACTAAACATAGTTTTCTAATTCATTATTATATTTCGTCACTGAATGGAAAGGATTATGTTCTGGTAACATTTGTGTTTTCACTTGATCTTTTTAATAATTAGAATTTTGCATTGGGCATATCTAGTTTTTGTCTTTTACTTAACCTAATTTTTTTGTTGAATGAAATGGAGAGATGATCCTGATTCCAGAAGACAATCATTTTCATATTCATCACCATGAGAACCTGAAGTATCATCATGTTGGCTGTAGCCCAGTTCATTGTTCATGATTTAATCTCCTTAAAACGTTAGGCAAAGAGTGCAATTTTAAAGCTCCAAAAATGCACTTTTCTCTAGTCTTGTACTATAGAGGTTATTTGTCGACATATTACATTATAATTATTAGTTATCAGGTTGAGTTTACATTTTATCCTACAACTCGGTGTTTTGATTAGATAAGGAATGTCACAGAGCCCTTTTTTAATAATCTTTTTATATGATTATGAACACATCTGTTACATACACTACAGTCCTTTTGTTTACTTATTTTTATCTTGGATTTTTCAGAAATAGAGGTCTCCTGGTCGTAATTTTTTCAGTTGTTTCAGATAATATATCTCTACTGGCTGCAGATTGTATTGTTTTAAAACAGAATTTTCTTAAAACAAATTAAAAGACCACAGTTTGCCTTTCAGTTTTACTCCCTTTGAAATCGCTAGTCTTTGAAATAAAATTTGGTACTCACTTTTCATCTAATTAATGGAACATGAAGCAGTAATAAAATGATATGTATCACTGGAAGTAATAAGTCATACTACACTGAAGCATATAAAGCACTAGTTACTAATAACAAGTTGTCTGACATAATCACACATAATTTGGAATAAAATTTTTATATTTTATTATTTTGTAAGTAGAGATGGAGTTGTATATGACATTATTGTATGTTTGTTTGTTTGTTTGTGTGTGTGGTGGGTTGTGCATATACATACCCACTGTTAATGATTGTCTTCCCATCATACAGTGTCATTTAACCTATGCAGCTGATTGTATGTCATTAAAGAACTAGAAAATCAGTTGATTAAAAGAAGATCGTATCTCTGATTACTTTACCAAACACTATGTTTGTACATGCTTCTTATATTTTTAAACTATGTAATTTAATGGTGTTAACATATTTTTCTATAACAGATGGTTATTCTCTGTCTTTCTTGTTTTAGGATTACTATGCCATTGCGATATTTGTGCTGACAGAAACGACACTTGCATTACAGACGGGTTTTGCTTCACATCTACCTCTTTGCAAAAAGACACTGGAGTTGTTACTCATGCATACAGGTGCGTGATTGTTATTTTCTGTAATATTTAATTTTTCTGTATGAATAATACAACAATATTATGTAATATTAATATTAAATTAATTCCTCTGTTTTAATTATAGAAATTATTGCATATTTAGGTGTAATATATAGTGTTCATATTCATGTGTAGTAAATTTATAATTTCAGGTTACGATGAAATACATTGTTGTAGGTCTCCATAAAGTATGTCCAGGAAAAAGAGATAATAGTTTTGAGTTATGTTAATAAGTTACACATGTTTTCAGTTGGGTGGACATTAAACATACAGTATTCAAATTTGACATGTCGGAGCACTTTGTCTTGCTCACCATTTGTAGAAGAGTGTGAGTGTGTAGTGTAAATTGCATACTTTACTTGTGGTTTGAATGATCATGAAAACTCTCAGACAGATATACTTATGCAATCACTTATGATCAAGGCTTATAAAAGTTTTTCACTTATTTTGTGTGGTATACTGAACAGATGATTTGAGAGACCATTCTCTTCCAGGCAAGAGAATACTAGACAGCAGGATAATGAATCCTGTACGTTATGTTACTTTCATTTGCCAGGTTCTGGGGTTTAGCCAGTCTTGGGAGGTTTGCCATATAGAAGGGTTTGTTGTAGTCCAAACCTGTTTGTATGACCAGTCACTTCCTTTCCCATTTTTATGAATTCTTTGTGCTATTTTTCATGTTCTCCTATTTGAAACTACAAAGCTGTGTAGAACGTATCCTTTGTTACAGCATTTTCTACTGTCTTTTTTCTTTCCAGAACTAGGCCTTTGATCCCAGTTTCTCAGAATCATTTTTCAAGGTTATGTCCATGCTTACATTGCCAGTAACTTAAGATAGTTGAAATTATTACTTAGCTTATTATAAATAAGTTGCTTCTTGGAAGTATATTGAATACATACCATATAAATAACAAAGATGGTGGAATGGTCAGTAACTACTAAATGCAATTCGTCAATAAGGTTGCAAGTTATTTGTAAAAAATGCTTCAAATTGAACTTGTGGTGTTACAGCCCAAAAAAACAAAACAAAAGAAACATTGCCATCTTCACTACTGTGATAACCTCAAATCTTACTGTCAGCACATCCTTTGTTCAATGTTTTGCCTACGTTGTAGTCAGGAATTTTGTAAAACCAGGACACTGACAGTTATGAAAGAAATTTACTGATTAGAGAACTAAACAGATTTTGCAACATTGTTAAAATTTGAAATATGTAATTAATGGTTATTATGGAATCTTAACCAAAGTGTATGTTTTGTGAGAAGTCTCTTATATAATTACTAATGTATCAGGCCAGTCAGATTTGAATTTAAGAGAAGTCAGGTACTTCATTGATTTTATATACAGTTTATTACATTTCTTTGTCAAAGGAGAAAGGTTTATTTAATGTTTGTGTAGTTGCAGAGAGTCTTGTAAGAGATTTAATAGAAGACTTTTTAAAGAAATTTAAATGGTGCTTTCTCTTTACTAAGGGAACAAGGTATACCATTTTCATGGACATGCTCATGTAAAACCAGTATGAATTTTTCCTTTACCGTGCTCTTCCCTTGCCTCTGACAGAGGCAAAACTTGTGAATGTGACATATGTAACATAATCTGTCATTTTGCCAATATGGATGGAGACCTGGAATAAATCATAAATGGAGGGACTAATCATGACAACAATTTATAATAATTACAGAATATTATATAATGATCATAAGTAGCACTTACAATGTACAGATATTAATCGAGTTAAAAAAATTTCTACACTCCATGCCAAATATAGTTATCTGGTAACTAGTTAACTCACAAGATTTTTTAAAAAAGATTTTCCATTTTCAGTTGAAATACCTGATCAGTTGTGTCCATTGGAAAGAGCTGATCTTAATCTGTCTAGTGGACCCATCTGAATAGGTTGTTGACCTGATGAAAGCAGTACTACCTTCTGAAATGTTGTGTGGTTTTGAAACATGATGGAAGATGTCCGGAAATATGAATCAGTTTAATGACACATTTGTCAGAAATTTTCAGACTAATTGTTCATCTGTTCTTGTTTGTTTCTTGTCATTAAATTTCATACTTGTTACTCATTCTCCAGAATGGTAATTACAGTCTATTTATTCAGTATTCCCATGTGCTAAATGGAAACCTCTGGTAAGGCATATGAAATTTGGAAAATTACAGCACTTCAGATACATTTTATAAATATGAATCCATTCATTGAAGAAATGGCAGCGGACTCATGTTTACCATGTGGCTCTTGTTTTAGTTTCTGCGCTGACTCATTTGACTTCGATTTTAGGTATGCAATTTATTACATGAAAGTATACAGACATTCTATGTATCCTGTAATATTGAAAGCGATGTTGCAACATGAAAAATACAGAAAAACAAACAAAAACATTTAAGTTATTATTGAATACTTAATTGTAGGAAAGTGTGTATTGTTCCTGACAGTGCACACTCAAGAACATTTTATTGTATTTGGCAATCAATATGTTGAAATGTGCAAATCATTTTTTGCATATCCCTTTGAAAAGTCATTACTCTTGTCACTGAAGTGCAAAGGATAGCTACAGTTGTTCTGAGCATTTGTAGTCATTCATTCTGATGCTAGATTTTAAGGAAGTGTTATATTTTTGGAAGCTATTTCAAGGTATTCTTTGACTGCATCACCACCAAGGCAAGTGCTCTGGGTCTTGAAATTGTCAGTAGTAGTAAGATAGGGGAAATGTATGTACACATATTTATATTCCTGTATTTTCAAGTTTCATGTGTTGAAAATGATAAGATTGAGATCTATACAGAAGATTTTTTTTATTTGAACATGATATTGCTGTGTGCCAGCCTTCTGATTCCTGTCATATCATGCTTCTAGAAAGTATAGTTTTTTCTTGCCATTAGAATATTGATTTTTGTTTTATAAATTTTTTTAGGAAATTGAAGAATAGAAAAGTTTGTGAAAACAAATATCACTGCTTCCATTAACAATTTGGTATCACTGTTTAAGTGCATTCTCCTGTTCTGTTGCTTTATTTACGGAGTAAATATAACTAAGTTAACCCCTTCGTTCACAAATGTTTTTCATATGCTTCATGATAATGAAAATTGTTTTTATGCCCAGCTGCCTTCATGTACAGTTTGAAACCGCACTGTGAGTAGGTATTGCTATCTCTTGCTTGTTGGAAATGATTTGTGTGGAATAGTTTTGGGGAATTGTACATTCATCCCTGTATTTTGACCTATGATGTCTCTTTTAGGCTGTATGCTGATAACCCAGAACTGTTTCAGTGTTGCAGTTACACATTTTAGTAGACAAAAAAGCTAGTTTTGATCTTTATACTTATATTTCTGAAATTGGCCATAGTTATGAATTATTGACCTTTACATGAGTATGATCTGATACTAAGCCTCTTTCTCAAACGATCAGCTAGTATCTTATGTTACATTTCCATGCAAAGAGATCTCTGTTGCTTAAATTCTTTTATAGAACATCAGGTAATCTTTCACCAAGAGTATTGGTGACACAGAACTGATTTATTTATACAATGCTTCTTTAGCATTAATGCGAGCAGTACATGTGTTTTCTGTGTGTTGGGTTTTGTGAAGGTGTCTAAACAAGGAGAACTTTTTCCCCGGGGAGTTTGCTATTGCGTGCTCAGTGTACAACCGTCGGACGCCTGAGATGCAAGTTGTATGCTGCAACAATTCAGATTGGTGCAACTTGTTCTTGGTCCCATCTCCGGCCACCCCCACCACTATCACCATTCACACATCCCTGATGCCAGGTAAGGTGGGCTCTATCCCTTTATAATGCCCACCCATCAGTTCCCTCATCGTGTGATAATGATTGGCTTGCTGCAACCAATTAATGTATTAATCTCATGCTCTTTTACAGTGTGTCTTATGGCTAGGTGTGATAAAGTTACATGTGGACATGATGCTGTGGAAGCGAAACTTACTCTTTACTAACTGAGTGCCGTTTTCTTGTGATTCTGTGTGAATTTCTATCCTTAACATGTGAATTTAGTAAAGAGCTAAGAGCAGGTGTGATTTTGTTTTCTCACATTTCTATTTAGAGTTGGAGACAAGATGGAAATGGTAGCTTGAAAATGTGTAAGTTCATGGAGCGGTTGCTCTCATGTCTGTTGTAGAGCGTTGCTGGACAGAACACAAATGATACGCAATACAACAGCCTTGATGGGCAGTAGGCTCTTTAGAAACATGGCTTCTTTAGCACTGTAGATTAACTAAAACCTGTGATTCCTTGTACAGTACATCATGTACCTGTTAATGTGAGACCAAAATAATTAAACATCATTTTTATCCAGATAAGTGTGTTTTATCCAGACTTAAAACTAAATAAAATGAATGGCTGGACTGGCTACTCCCCTAAGACCCTGGCTGACTGATGTGATTTTGTTCATTGCATGTTGTTAATTTTGTTCAATTTTTTGGAACTCACCCTTTTTTTTTCTAATCCATGTTTGTGTCTTCTGTGTGTTGTGTTGAAAAACAGGTGCCTGGAGAAAGCGTTAGTCTATCCACCTGAGAACCCCATCTTGTGTCATTACGCCAATACTCTTAATGACACTTTTGTAATAGGATGTTGCAAGGATCGCGACATGTGTAATAAAGATTTGAAACCATCTCTACATGTTAAAAATAAAACAGGTAGGTTTCTGGGGCTGGCCTAGAGCTTCATTGGCCACAGCATCCAAGCTAGTCGGTGGAAGTGCATGCACCTTGCACAGACTCATCACTCCTTGTAAATATTGCTTATCATAGGTTAGGTCTTCCTCTTCTCCCAACCTACTTGTAATTTCAAAAACACTTTCCTTACTACCTTCTTCTGAATTGTATTTATTTTCTTTGTTTTCCAGGTACACTGGAGCATGCATCTGTCCATTGCACCTTAGAATCACTTTTTCTGTTCAGTTTTATTCTCAGATAATGTCTTCTGTTTTCAGATATGTGTGGAGCATGTAGTTAGGCGCACATTTTAATGCCTGATTTTCCTTGTTTTCTTCTCTTTTCAGTTATGCTACTTTATTCTTGAATCTTACAAAAAAAGGAGCAAATTGATCATATGTGTGTTTATTTTCCAGCAGAACTACTGCAACTACCTACATCTGCATGCTGCAATCTCTTGTTGCCATGAAAACATACAGTTGTGCTTTGTACAGTTCTTTGCGAATGGTAGAATAGTCGGATGGTCTTGAGGAAGGAGTATTCTTGTAACCCCGTCTGTATTACGTTTTCAGCTAGAGGCAGTGTTTCTTCCATTGAAACTTCAGGTGCTCTGAATATAAAGTTGCTTGTGATTTGGGTATACATTCAGCGGAGTCTTGACTTTATGCCAAAACTATTCTCTGTGGATCTGTCTTCTTCTTTTCTGAAAAAAATCTAGTAAAATAATTTATACTGCAATATTGTGAACAGTTGTTTGAAATAAACCAAGTTTGTTATGAGAGTTTGTGTAAAGCAGTCCTTTTGAAAGAATGATCAGAAACTTAATACAAATTATAAATTAGATTTTAGGCTGTGTTGTATTTGTACTGTAAGAAGTGCTGTGTAGATTTTTTTCATGAGTCAAATGTGCCTCAAAAAATTACTTTCACATACATATTTGTGGCATGTTGTCTATCCGATTTATACCAGGCTTGTTGCAAGTATGAAATTCTTTACAATTTTTCACTATAAATTTCAGAATTGTAGTTTAACTTAAAATTGTCAGATGCTTGTTTATACATTTACAGGGTATTCATAAAATTTGTTTTTAATTTAGTGCTTTAAAAAGTACTGCAAGTAGGTTATTAAGATATTTTCTGAAAACATGAACTAGTGAAAGTTAGCATACTGCATTCATTGCAGACAATATTTGGGTGATGTGCTCATTCAACAAGCTTATTTCACAGAACAAATTTATTAAGTGGGAATTAATGTTGTTTGCCATGCTGCACAAACTTGTTGGGGGTTTGCATGTTGCCTGTGAACCAGATTTTACATGGTCTTTTACTTTTATATTTTTATCAGCCTCTTCACTTAATGAAGGTTTTTAGTACTATAAGAAAAGTGTTTTGCTTCTGTGATTGTTATCATAATTTTGATATGACATCTATCTCGTAGTAGACTTTCAGCTTGTTCTATTATTAACATATGTACATATTTGTGACTTAGATTGGTAGATTGTCCCATGATATAATACCAGTTTCTTTTGTAGAACTCTTTTGTAGAACTGTTTTCTTTTTATTTCTTTGCCATTAGCATTGCTGAGAGTTGACTCACCAAAGAAACTAGTTATCTTCAAAGTGGATTCAACTTGTATTTGGGAGAACCAAGGCGATTTCTTTGAAGTCAGCTCTCCTGAGATTGTGGTATTCTTCTTCTGAGTGAAGTACACCAAAACTGCTTCCTTCCCATTCCTCACCAGTAGTCACTCCATAAGCACCATTGTCATCATCACATCTGTCAACATCTTCACAAACAGAATATTGTAAAAGCAAGGGTCTGCTCACATGGAACTGTTTTTGTCTAGGTGTTTTCATAAGAGTGTTCTCTTTCCACCCGGCTTCCCCCTTTGGTGTCTGAACAACACCAACATAGGTGTAGAAAAAGGGTATGTGGTTGGATGCTGTCATGATCGTGACTTTTGTAACCGTGAATTGCATCCAGCATTTGCACCACCAACACAACCACCACAATCTTCAGGTGAGACAGAGGAGGCTGGTTGCTGCTGCTGCTGCTGTGGTTGGGAGCTTGTGTGACTCGTCCTTGCAGCTTGTGAGCCTTGTGTCTGATGCTGGACCATTGTTACATTCACGTGCTTGATGAGCAGTGCTTAACTTGGAGAAAATGTACTTGAACAACTACTGTATTATGTAAATTTGACCTTTAAATCAGTTTTAAGTGGAAGTCGGTATACAAGTACATAGGGCCTTGTTGCAGGCTCTTGTGAACATGTTAGTGGACATTCAGTTCCATAAAAGGTGAGGAATTTGCAGAGTAGCTGAGCATACTGTTAGGTTTCCAAGAAGTACTCTTTTCCATGTAGTTAGCTAGTTACAAGTGTATGACCTGACAAAACAAACTTTAAAGGGGCTCAGTGTTCAGTTTTCACTGATTTGAATAGTACATTAGGAACAGCATGATCAGTGCGCTCTCTCCTCCTTTTTTAAGTAAGAAATTTTTAAAAGTTCACTTCATATGTGGGGTGGGGGAGTGTGAAAAACTTTAAAAGTTTCTTGACAAAAAATGAACTTCTGAGATGTTGAAGAAGGCAATGTTGAATATTGCAGTAAACCGTGAGTCAATGTAGAATAGAAACTTGAGATAAAATTTTTGAGATTTCAGGTTCCCACAGTGACAAGTATAAAGATGACTTTTGCCTGAGTTGTTGCACCATGTAGTCTGGGCATTTATCATTCTGATGTTGGAGACAGCAAACACCCATGAAATGTCAGTATAAGTCTACCAGACTACACAGCCAACCACATAATACGAATGTTTAAATCACATATTCTTGTACAGTAAAGGCTGAGATTAGAAACTTGAGGTATGAATATAGGAGATTATTATGGTTCTCCAGAAGCACGTTACATTTACTTGACCGTAGTTAATTTTTAATCACAAGCAGTATCCATGAGAATATTCTTAACTTACTTTTTTTTAAATTAATGTAACCACCTCTTACACCAGCGCTGCCCAACTTGGTTGCATTGTGATATTGGCTTGATAGGAAGTGTTGGGACTCGAGGGAAAGGTGATGTTGGGATTGATCTCAGAGTTTAACATTTGGATAGGTTGCTCATCAGAAGTGCTAAAGCGTTATCTCGAAATATTTATAGAGCAGAGCTTCAGAGAATTGTTTGATGATTAAAACAGTGTATGATGATGGACAGAGAAGCATAGTTTGTGATAGATATGAAGTTTATCACAGTAGATGTGTGAAGTGTTGACACAAACTGTTCACTTAAGTTGTTCACATGAACAAAGTTGAATGTAAGTTTATATGTATGTGAGTTAGTTATCAATACTGCACTCTGTTAATTAATTTAGAAAATTCAAAACTACTTATTTGATGAAAACTTGAAGGCAGAATATCAGTTTAGTTCACGTTGTTATTATATTCAGAGATTTCCAAATATCACTTCATGAATAAATAAATGTGCAGAAAATAAAAACTTTGTATATATGCACAGAATAATCACAATATCTAATTTCAGGTGAGAGACAGAATTCCGCTTGTAATTCCAATTTAAATACAAGTCCAAATATAAGATTCTTCCAAAATTTAGATTAAGAGTGCATCTGAGTTATATCTAAGTTCTGAATTCCATTGGCTGGCATTGACATAATTTGGAGAACTAGCTTGACTGTAGTATGGCATCTGGAAGTAATAATATTAGTGTGATGTAGCCTTACTGAGCTGGTAACTCAAGTCTTTTTAATGGGACTACTAATTACAATCCACTGTTATAAATCAGCCAATTTGTCCTGTTTTCATATCACACCATATGAACAGCTGGTCCTAAACTTTAACTGGGATTGTGTTATCACAGCAAGCAGTATGCTTAAACTTTTACTGACTCTCCATTTTAAGCACTGCTGTCAGAGCACGTGGTAGGCTGGTGGGGATAGGTAAAAAGAAATGCATTTGGAATTCTAATTAGCATGAGAGGAAGTAACTGTCTCAGAGGTGGAATCCATGTGTATACTTGAAGATTTCTGTCTTCTGGGTTATTGCGCTGTGTAGTCTGGTCGATGTTAACCAACGTTTCAGAGGTCATAACTTGTTCTCTGTCATTTATTAGTGTCCTGTTGGTTCATCAGTAGAATATCAGCATTCATGAGTCACCTCTTCAGTGTGTAAGGGTGCACCAAAAATACCCGTTATTTCAAATTAGCCCCGTTTTTTATGTTTACTGTGGAAAATAAATGTTTCTCTGTACTGTTTTGCACTTACCAATACCAAACATAATAACATTTTCATTTGATTTTGACTTTTAATATGGCAAAAGAAAGCTGCATAATGGCTATAAATTTGATCAAAAAATGTTTTATGGCAAAAACAATATCGAAGATGGTCAAAACACCACTTTCAACTGTCTATGATGCGATAAAACGTTACTAGGAGACTGGGAGCAATGAGGACACCAGGGCGAGGACAAAAATCTTCTGCAGTTACAAAGAGGAACATCCACAAGGTACGATTGCAATCCGGTACAGTCAATGCGAAAGATGGCAAAGAACCCGGTATCAGCGAACAATCAGTTCGAAGAATCGTAAAAAAGAAGCTGAAACTCAGCTTCTTTTTTATGACCACTTCCGAGTTCTTACCAACTCGGAAGTGGTCATCATCTCACGGATGCAATCGACTCCTCTGGTAAGACGCCGTTGGTTTTTGTGGACTGCGACCGCTGGATCCTTCAACAGTACTGGGCTCCTGCGCATGCAGCGAAATCTTCAATCTGACTCTGCAAAGAGCTGTTTCCGCAGATTTTGGACCAAGACGTTTGGCCCTCTAACTCGCCTAGTCTGAACGAACTTCGCAGTTTGGTCAGTTCTGGAGCAAACTCTTCTCTTCAAGATACTCTGCCGTGGATCAGCACAAAGCCTGGGATGAAATAACCGTCGAAGAGAGTGCGAGCATTGTCGATAATTTAATGAAACGTCTTGATGCTTATATTAAATTTAAAGGTGGTAATTTTGAACATGTTTTGTAACCATTTGTTTTTGTTAAATAAAGAAAGTTTGTTTTGAATTCGTTGAATATTCGTTAAGTTATGATCTCTTTAACTATTCCGGGTATTTCTGGTGCACTCTGTATTTTACAGCTGTTCTTGAATTGTGTGCTTATATGTTTACTGTGAAGTGTAGAAGAATAATGGTGCAATATTTCAGGTAGACCATGTGATCGGGAGTCTTGTAAATGGAGTATTTCTGGGTCTGACTTCGGCATTCAGAATTTATGTTCCACTTTACAGCTGATTTTGATGTCTGTTTTTGAAAATGATTACTGTCTATGTTTTATCTCAAGATAACTTGAAACAGTTCAGTGTCATTTTGCATACATGTGGCCAAAACTTAATGCAACAAATATTAATCCACAGAATGATGATTCATTTGCTTGTTATCTTAGGATTATTATTTCAGGTAAATACTGGTACTTTATTCTGCCTTCACATATTTTGTGTTTGTTACCATACCATTTTCCTTTGTGTGCCATGATATCATTACTTTGTACAGTACTCTTGGCTGAGGCATGATTGCCATTATCTCTTAATGGTTTTGAAGTGTTTTGATTATTAGTTGTGTAAAAATGCTTGAATTGAAGTGTACTGTGTTTTTGCATGTTATAACAGTGTTCCACAAACTTTCTTCACCTGCTGCACACCTCACCGCAAATTTTTGCCTCATGGAAAGGGGAACTATATACATGGCTGGAAATGTGTATCTACACACAAGTCCTTGTCCTATAAGTGTGAAGACATGTGAAGATAAAACAACAAATGTTCAATAAAATAATTGATTATGAAAATTCTAATTACAAAAGATAAGATACTGCCTTTTTCTAACTATGGTGTGCAAATAGACAATTTCTTATAAAAAATCACATCACACCTGAAACCTTTTAATGCTCGCTGGTTGTGGAACACATGTTACAGTATATTTTTAATTAATTTGCAGTGCATGATAAAGGGTTTTTACTTTATTTTGTTTATTTTAATGTTCTTTTATAATGAGCATCATGTATGCTTATCCATCATCCCTTAACAAAGACCTTTAGTCATCATCAAAATAATGACTACTAAAAACTTTATTAATTCTGTATGGTGGATGGTCATGAATCCCTAATTCACGTCTCTGACATGCCAAAATCAGTTAGGAGGATCGTAAAACATTTCTTAGAGACAGAACAGGTCAGTTATTCTTAGATTAAATCTTATCAGTAATGTACGAGGTGCGATCGGAAAGTTTTCAGACTGTGTCAATAGAGGGCGAACCGGATGTAGTACGAGCTTCTGCCGCTAGGGGGTGCGGCCTACATTCATAGTGAATAAGTGTGCCAGCCGGCATCATCGAATTAGCATTTGTTTCTTAGTTACGGGCGTTTTGGTAGTGCATTACACCGACCCTCCTGCGATTTCGGAATGGCGTGTGCATCAAATTTTGCCAAAGACTCGCCAAAACGGCTACGGAAACCTATGAAATGCTAAAGCAAGCATTTGGGGAGTCCGCAATGGGTCGTGCACAAACTTTTGTGTGGCATTCACGTTTTAAAAATGGCCGAACCTCTGTCGATGATGACGAGCGTTCTGGACGACCATCTTCGAGCGCAACGCCCGAAAATGTTACGAAGATCGTCGTCGTACCATCAACGACTTGTGCGACATTGTTGGGATAGGCTATGGGACCTGTCAGCTGATTCTAAAGGAAGAACTCCACATGCGACGCATCATGACAACGCACCAGCGCACACCGCCTTCAAAGTTCGGCAGTTTTTGGCCTCAAACACCATGGCCGTCTTCCCGCACCCTCCTTATTCGCCGGATTTAGCTCCGTGTGACTTCTTCCTCTTCCCAAAGATGAAAATTCAGCTAAAGGGAAGGAGATTTGAGACGATAGAAGAGATTCAGGCAGAATCGCAGATGGTGCTTGACAGGCTGACAAAGAAAGATTTCCAGGGATGCTTCGAGACTTGGCAGCGGCGCTGGGATCGTTGTGTTCACTCCCAGGGGAACTACTTCGAGGGTGATGGATGAATTTAATACCTGAGATAAGTGTACGGGTTTTTATACGCGCAGTCTGGAAACCTTTCGATCACACCTCGTATTCCTCCTGCAAAATGGCTAAATGGCACTTAGATAAGCCATAGCCACTTCATTTCCCACCCAGTGAGTCATAATTTGTTATTCGTGCACTTTGGTTCTGTGTACTATTTGCAGTTGCATGGAATATTAAGAATTTATGCAGTTTGATTGTTTGCTTTTTGGAAAGGGAAGATCGCTTTAATGATATTGGCAACTGAATGTGGGTGCATATTGTGTCATTTACACGTTGACATACAATGGAAATGGTTAAGCAATATGGAAGCAATCAGTTTCCATTTCATTATGACATGAAAACTGAAACATGAGTTGTTGTGTGGATGCACATGAAGTTCTAACTGACATGAAAGTGTTTGTCCAAAAGTTATATGCTATGTTGTGTGGTGATTATGGTGGTGGTGATGGTGGTGGTAGTAGTAATAAAAATAATACACCAAATGTGTTCGCAGTGGGTTTCTGTTTCAAAATTATGCCTAGCAGTTTTTTGTCTGTTGATGTCTCTGCAAGACCAGGTGTGTCATATCTCACTTACCATGAAGGTTATGAAAATTAAGATTTCATAGATATTTTGCACGGCTCCTAAGTCTATTGGATGATACATATTAATGATTCTGAATATTTAATTTGAAGACTAATGTTGCATCAGCAACTCTTTCTGTAAGTCTTTTTTCTGTATCATGTTTTTCGAGTTGTGAAAGTGTGACTTGTCAAGCATTTGCTGTGCTCCTGTTGTGAGTATACTGTTGAAATGTGTATTGTTAGTAGCCTTCAAATTGCAGCTAGCCATGTGATTGGTGTAGAAAGGTATGTAATGTGAGATGCTTGCCTGAAGTAAAATATTTCATTGTTCTTAGAACTTTGTGTATTTTAGATATGTTGCTCATTATGTATTGCATGTTATTTGGGTGAGTCTGTGTTGCATTATACCTATAGTATTGACTGAAGAAACAATTTCATATATAATTCTATGAATTTCAAATTTTATTTTATTTTCTACATGCTTATAATGTTAATTTATTTTAAAGCTAAAACTTGGTATCAAGTTTTAGTAAAGGCTATGAGGTTTGTATAAAAGTAAATTCTAAAGTATTCATTTGTGCTCATGTTTTGTTACCAGTGTTTTGGTCAAAATCTTAATATAAGGAGAGCTAATGAATTCATAAATTGTGGTAGATTTAAGGACTTTGGAACGAACAGCAGCAAGTAAACATTTTATTCATGTCATAATTTGGAGAAGATTAAATTTTAAAAATGCTTGGTGCCAGTCAGTACTAAATAATCATCTTGTGACCTATCTAAAAAACCATAACACTAGTTCAGGGTGTTTAGAACAAAATTCAGAAGAGAATATATGAATTGATGATGGAGACGGTATAATGAATGAGAGAACATTATATATTGAAGAATTTAATAATTTGAACTTTTAACGTTATACAATGTTATTAGGTTAGGTTAAATCAAGGAAAATGATATGACTGAGACAGGGGGGAACTGAGAAATGAGATGATTTTGGTTGTGAAACATCAAGGGAGAAACTACTTGGGAGGCACAGGGCAGCATTATAGAAATAGTATGAATGCTAGGGACTATATTCAACTGCTAGTAATTTTGCTGGAAAACTTTAAACTTAGATGACTGACTGTGTGCCATGGACTTACGTACTTATTTCTTGTTATGTTACCAAACAAATATAATGTGTAACACTTATTGTTCTACCTCTTGATACATTTATTGTCCATATAATAAAAGTAGGTAACATTTTGTAATGAATATGGTTTTGTTAAAATTAATTACCTTCTGTCATTTACTGTGGAAATAATAGTCCATTGTTAATGTACAGTATATTGCCAAATGGGGTTCAGTCTTCATCATTTTATTTATCCAAATGTGTAATCACTATTTGATAGGTCTCCATTGAGAAGAAATGTGAGTTATATTTGTGCAAATGCAGTATTCTGTTCTGTTAATTTACTTATAGTTCTTGCAAAAATGTTGGCCATTAAATTGCATTCAGGCTTATTCATATTCTTATCATATGAATTTAAGTTACTGTCTATTATGCTATAACATTAAACATATTATGACATGCTTGAGAATTATTTCGCTAATTGAGGCTTGGCTTGTTGAAGAAAATCCTCAGGGCCAGGGAACGTTCTCACTGGGGACATGGGAGCTGGCTTTGACTATCGCTGGCCCTATCGTCATAGTGTGCATCTTCATAACAGTGGTCTATAGCCTCTGGCATCAGCATCGCCGGCGCCAGCACCAACTACCCTATCGTTCAGAGGATTCAATTGAAGCACCAGATCATCCCATATTGGGTGGAGTGTCGCTGCGGGACATGATTGAGATGACCACAAGTGGGTCTGGCTCAGGTGAGTTTTTTTTCTTACATTCGAGGTCTGATCAAAAGTACTGAAACTCAATTCATATCTCAGTCATTACTGTGATGAATATGTTCTGTTATGTTGTAACATGTCAAGACATGTTTACATGTCATTCATGGTGTTTCAAGTTAGAGTAGTCGTTACATGAACAGTGTTCCTAATTCATACTCCTATATGTCATTCAGGGAAGTATTTCCTGTTAGGGACAGGTATTTCTTCCCCTTTATCACCACATCTAGACCAGTTCTGAGACCTATCTACTTGAGTCTTGTTCCCTTTTTGTAAAATAGAGTGCAGTGTTGATCATTCCCCCCCATTTAGTGTCTATTGTAGAATACCTGAAGCTTTACCTCATTGCTCCTTGTATGCCTTAATATAACAGTGCTTAGATGCGGAGCATACCTTGTGTGCATCTTGCAAGGAAATTAGGAGAGTCCTGTACAATTTTAGGTTTATTACAGAACAGTAGAGTAATTTTGTATTTTTTCTTCTATTGTAGGCCTGCCTCTTTTGGTACAACGAAGTATTGCAAGGCAGATACAGCTTGTAGAAATTATTGGTAAAGGGAGGTTTGGAGAAGTGTGGCGGGGGAGGTGGCGAGGAGAGAATGTGGCAGTGAAAATATTCTCATCTAGAGAAGAACGTTCCTGGTTCCGAGAAGCAGAAATTTACCAAACAGTAATGCTGCGTCATGATAACATTCTCGGATTTATTGCAGCTGATAATAAAGGTGGGTGAATGTTTGTATGTGGCATAATTGATATGTGTCAAATCCTACTTTGTAAAATTGTTAATTTTCAGTTGTGTCATATTTTGATACTTACCTTTGTAGCTGTCATTAGCGGACCTTAGAGAAATAAGAGAAACGTTGAACTGTTGAAACAACAAGCCAGTTTGCTTTGCAGGCCCCCATTTAGACAGACATGAAATCTGTTTGATTGTTACAGATAATGGGACATGGACACAGCTGTGGCTGATCACAGATTACCATGAGAATGGATCTCTCTTTGATTACCTTAATAGAAGTACTGTTGACACTACAGGCATGATCCGCATGACCTTGTCAATTGCTACTGGCCTGGCGCACCTCCACATGGAGATTGTAGGCACTCAAGGTGAGCCAAATACTAGAACCCAGTGGCATCAACACACCTCAGAGAAATAAGTTGTGATGGCATGGATTGGTTTTAAATGGCTCAGGATAGAGTACAGTAGTTTTTTTGTGAATGCAATGATGAACATTTGGATTTGATAAAAGCAATTAACTGTTGACTTTTCATAGAAGATTCTGTACCATGTAGTCAGTTGTAATGTAGGATTTATTTACAAGATTCCATCTGATGTACCTGCTTGTAAATTTTTAATCTTGGTCCATAGGAAAACCTGCCATAGCCCATAGAGACCTGAAGTCAAAAAATATTTTGGTAAAATCGAACACTACATGTGCCATTGGAGATCTGGGTCTAGCTGTGCGGCATGATGTGGCAACAGATACAGTAGACATTCCGCTCAACAATCGTGTTGGCACCAAACGGTACATGGCTCCAGAGGTAAGCCCTGAACACAGAGACAGTTTGCTTCTCCAAAACATTGGTATATGCCTACAAGTCTGCAAACATTGCATGTGTGTGCGCACACACAAAACCAGTTTCTATATATCTGCCCATTCCACTCTTTTAAAGTTACAATTAAATATGAATGTTGACTCGCAGAAATGAGTTTATGAAGTAATGAGAAAGAAGTTCAAAATCCTGAGTATGAATACACTAAAATCCGTTTGTTATTTTATACTCTGTCTGGCATCGTCTAACATGAAGTCTCGGAAAGAGAATGGATGATTTCAATGTTTCTTTTATGTCTGTTACATTAAAGGTAAAGGTGTGTAAATATAAACGAAGAAGAAAGATAATGAAAAATGTTTTATTTGTTTGTATGTTTTACAGAAACGAAGGAATTTGTTGTATTATTACAGTAGCTGCAGAAGTACTTAAAAATGTGCTTACAGAAAACATTTAAAAGCTTGAGTCAGAGAATAATATGTATGTATATTTTAGTATTGTGAAAATGTTACTTGGGTTTTATGTGGAATGTCAGTGGGATATTGGTATTAATAAATTATTCTACTTGTATATAGATAATAGTTAATCATTTGTTAAATATTTTTGATTTGTTAATTCAGAATAAATCATGCACAAAATTAATTGTGTATTTGAATATTACTTATATTAAAGACGTATTAAGTGTTATAAGTTTTTATTGGAAGTTCCTGTGATTGTGGTTTTCATCTGTAATGTTCTGGGAGGATATTCTGCTGTTGTCTCTACTGTGTAACTGCTTTTGCTTATGCAGGTCCTTGAGGAGCTGATTAATATGAATCACTTTGATTCATTTAAAAGGGCAGATGTATATGCTCTTGGCCTCATATTCTGGGAGATTGCAAGAAGATGTAATGTTGGTGGTATCTATGATGATTACCAGTTGCCATTTTATGACATGGTCCAGTCTGACCCAACCATTGAAGAAATGAGGAAAGTGGTATGTCTGGACCGACAAAGGCCGTCTATTCCTAACCGATGGCAGTCAAATGAGGTATGATACCTAGTGTTTAAAGGAGACTTAGCCATGTGAGCTTGTCTGAACGTGGTTATAAGTAATGATTTTGTATTTAATGTGTCATATATATGTATGTATGTTAATTGATTACATCTTTCTGAAATATCAGTGATTTAATTTTACCTGTCATCAGTTTTAGAACCATTTATGTGACTAAATTCTGAGTTTATGTGATGATAAAGAGTATGTAGTGCCTATCTTATCTTGAAAATGTAAACATCAGCATTTAAATTAATTCTGTCAGCAGCTCCTTATAACCAATTGAATTAACTGTGTCTATTTAAGTAATTACTTTGAGTAAAGTCACTCAAAGAAGTAAAAATAGAACCCCAGCAGCTTTGAATTAATTTTGGGCATATTTATAACTAAAGTTGCAAAATATGCCTTTCAATTTCATTGTGTGTATTTGTCTGGCCATAGATCAACAAATTTAGTTACTGCTTGGGTCATCACCTGTAACTCTACATATTATACATTCACAGTGAGGAAATTAAGCTTAGAATTTCCTGAGTGTTCATTAAATCGAAATTTGTTTAACTGAAAAATATGTTAGGTTAATGGTGTTGGCAGCAATACAGATACTTTCTCAGATCTGCAGTAGTGTTGTGAGCCTTTGTTACCTAAGCATGTGACTTGGTGTTAAATGAGGTCTTATAGCCCACATTCTTTGTGTTCTCAATCTGTCATGTGGTTTGAAAATGTTATGCAATGATGGCAAAATGAGGAAGAGCCCCATCTTATCAAAAACAACACATCAGTAACAATTATGTTTTTAATATGGAAAATTACCTTGTGAAACTATAATAAAAGCAGAGGAAGGAAAGACTTTCTTTCTTACAAACGGTTGAGTTCTGTTTATTCTCCGACATTCAGAGTGAGTATTACATGTAAGATTTGAGGTTTTCACAGCGGTGAGTATGAAGATTTCTGTCTTCTGAGTTGTTGCACTGTGTAGTCTGGTCGATGTTTACCAGCATTTCGGAGGTCATACTGCCTCCATCATCAGGGCGGTGATTCATCTTCATGAGTATTACATATTTGTATTGAAGTAAATATAATTTTGATAGAACTAGGTAATGGCTTTTAGATCATTCTCTTGTGACTTGCTGCAGGCTCTTCATGTGATGTCAAAGGTGATGAAAAAAATCAGAATGCAGCAGCTCGTCTCACGGCACTTCGCATCAAGAAGACCCTTGCAAACCTTGGTGCAGCTGAAGACCTGAAAATATGAAGGGGATGGTATGGAGCATAGCAAGTTGCTTCCATAATTGCAGCGATCTCAGTTGTTTACAGTTGTGCTGCTGTTTGAATTAGTGGAGACATTTAACTTGAAACACAGTTATGAATTGATTTTGAGGAACTTCTTTCACTAGTCATGCCTTTTCATTTGAGATAATTATTGCAAGTTTTTTACTTTTCTTAAAATGGACAGAAAATGTAGTAAGGTGCTTCTTGTAAGCGCCAGAACAATATTAAGGATATTACTGAATCACACTTTATGAAAAGTATTATGGTGACAAGCAACATGATCATGACCAGGAAACAAGGAAATAATTTTTGACTGGTGACTGTCCTGCTGTGCAGTGACATTGGGGCATGACACATTTGATCACCCATATTTAGTAGATCAAAAATGCAGGGTGCTGCTTGCCACCATTGTATTGTCATTTGACATTCTCTTGTTTAAAATCTGACCTGCATTCAAATGAATTCAAAGATAAATGAGACAGACAGGCAGCTGAAATTTAAAGAAAGGAATGGATGATGGGGAGAAGTGGGTGAATAAATGTTTATTGAATGGACGGGTGTATGTTAAATGAGTATATTTGGGAGAGAGTGGCTAGAAACAGATCCATTGACTGAAAAAGAAATCACTGCCCAGTTGTATTCCCTTTGTAACAACACAGGCCATTTCCTTTATTGTTTTGATTCTAAAGCAACTTCAGCCCATCATTTGTGTTTATTGTGATGTATCAGCAGTTATGCTAGAGCCAGACAAGGGCCAGATATATATGATATTTTAATTTACTGTAATAGGATTCAAAAACTATTTTAATTCGATTAAAAAATGCTTATTGATATAATGTGTGATTACATAATCCTGAATTTGAATTTTATCAAGGATTTTTGGAAATAGGAAGTTTAAAATCCATGCAGTCTGTACCTCATTTCTAGCTGAAGGTGAATGGGGCAACATTAACAATGAATTACTGTGTCTGGCTTAAAATCATTTAGGACCCAGTGGTGGTGTTTCAGTATAGTGTTGACTTTATAGGGAAGATCTGAAATAGTTTCATGTGTTACCACAGTCTTGTTTATACTTAAACTATCAGTAACATAGAAGTGAAATGAAAATTTAATGCCTTTATGTATTATTGTAGTCATGTCTTGTCTTACAGTAACAAAACCTTGAAATACAAACATGTCTGTAAAATTATGGTGCAGATTTAAAGTTTAGCTATTTTGTAACACTTAGTGCTACAGGATGGTTTAAAAGTCTGTGTGCATGTGTAAGAAGAAGTGTTGGAATTTGGAAGTGGTTTAAAAGTCCCTTGTGTATGTGCTCACACATACTCTAGGTCAGGCCTGCCGAACCTGTAGCTTGTGGGCATCATGTTGCCTGTGATGTAGTGTTATATTGCTCGTGGAGACATTTGAAATAAGAAAACATCTTTTAACCCTTTCCCTGTCAGCAGCACCATAGAATGCCGTAGCAATTCCACCCGTTTCCTGGCAAACTATGAAAGAAAACTTACCACCACTTCCATATTCCCAAGTGACCCTATCATAAATCCTTATTGTTAGCTGTTGTTCTTTGCCAGGATTAAAATAACTTTGTCGACATTTGCCAATGTGTATTGTTACGGGGATGTTTTCTAGTTAACGACTTCCAGATGTACAGGTACCAGCAGCGACTTCTTGTTGATGTTTTTATTGCTGGACTTACAGTCTGTCCTATTGTCCCAAGTTAAAATCTATGCAATAATATTTTAAAAAGGTTATGAGGTTTTTATTTATGGCAACATTACTAATTACTAATTTATTTTGTAAAAATGTGCTAGAAATAAACACAACCTAGCCTAGGTTGTGAATTGAATTTTTTTTACAGATTTTTCACATTATTAATATATTTTTATTGTATATAATATATAGAAAAATATACATATATATTCTATATTGCCCACATACAGACCAAATGTTGCAGAAGTTGCCCTCACAATAAAAAGGGTTGGGCAGGTCTGCTGTATGTGGTACAAGTAAGTTGCATGTGACACATGCAGGATTTTTGAACCAATTCCCACTTCCAGTACTCGTTCTTACGTAAATACAGGGACTTCTGAAGCATTCTGTAGAAACATGAAACACATATAACATGAAGCAGAAGAAACTAATGTTAATGCATTTCAGTTTGGGGTACATATGTTGATCTACACATGCCTCATTACTATTCTAAGTACTGTTTTCCACCGTATTTTAGTGCTGAATGAGAATGTCTGTCTGTGGTGGTGGTGGTGACAGAAAATGAGAGTACAAAACATATTTTATGGTAATTTCAAACTGATCATGAATTTCTAATATCTGTCACTTCAGAATATTATGGAAGAAGTGATTAATACATTTAGGAACAAAATGGTTTTCTTCCTGTTTATGACAAACTGCTGAAATATCATATAAACATGTAATGCTGTTTTAATGTATTTCCCCATATCATATTTGTTGTATATTAGAAAATGCTCATGTATTGCACTGCAACATAACATGGATCTGCAAATGTATACTTGCAGACTCTGTCTTTCCTCATTGTGGTGCAGTATTTAATAACGTCCTTTTTCTACATAATAGTACAATATTTTTATTACAGTGTCATTGTCATAATTTTATTGTTGCAGTATTTTGTTGCGAAGCAGAAGTTGTTTTAGAATGAAGTGTAATGACTAAACGATGTTTCCTCTAAAATGATAAGATATTCTGAAACATGCTTTAGTACTAGCCTACAATTTGCAGTAGATATGTCAAGGTGTCTTTTAGGGGAAATGTTACAGTAATCCTGTGCCTTGTTGCCCAGTTATTGGAGCAGCATCCTTCCTCTGTTCCCTATAGCAAGCAGTTCCATAGACATCATGTAGGCTATCTTTATGTCTGCATACACAAGCCAGGTTATTATTTCATGTTGTCACAAAGTAAAGGAATGTTGTTTATGTAGTACTTTATTGCTGTGTGTGTGTGCGCATGTATTTTAGCCGTATGGGTGTGCTGGAACTTCTGACCATATTGTATCTTTTGCTGCCATTTCAGTAAACTTTTGCTGTTATATTTTTTAAATGAATTATTGTGGCTTATTTTTAGATTTTTGCAGGTCATGGGAAGGAGAAAGTGTGAGAGTGGATAGTGATTGTGTAAGGAATGGTTTGCGGGTCTTGATGTCTATTGTAGTTCCTAATAGAACTAATCTAGCAACTTTAAAATTTGGTGTTGTTCAGCCAAGAGTTGCAGTTGTCTTACATTATAGGGAAATTTTATAATGTATCAGTCATAAGAAGCTTTGATCAGAGTGGCCATGCAGTTTGGTTTGTGGACCTTGATCACTCAAGACACTGAGATTATGGGTTCGAATCCCACTCCTAGCTTGGATGTTTTCGTATCTTTCTGTGTTGTGCTGTCCTGTATAGATAGAGACCTTGTGACAGTCTTATGACTTGTCCAAGGTCTCCTACCAAATGTCTAAAAAGATTAAGAAACATCCCATATGTGAGGAGGCCAAGGTCCTTTAAGGACTGACTGCAGATCCACATAATGATCATGATTATGGTAAAAGAAAAACTATTTACAAAACTGGAATGCTTATTTGTGCTGAATGCAAAATAAGGGCTCCTTAAATATTGTTCTGTAATTAGAAAAAGAAAAAATGGTTCAAACTGAGATTTTGTGTGTCTGGTTTATATCTCCAACTGTCCATAAAAAGTTTATAAGTTTTATCATCTTGTAACTCAATTAATTTGAAGTTACTGAATTGCATGTGCTCGATAACAGCAAAAATTAACACAGTTTGAGGTGTTCCTTGTGTTTTCAATGCTTGAGTTCTACATCATATCTTGTTAAGTTGTGCTGCTGGTGTTTTTTTTAGACCTGAGAATGTGCACACATTTTCATTGCAAAAAATACCATCTTGCAACTGGGTGATCTTTTCTCTGCTACAGAAACATGCAGTATGTTCATTGGCTTCTTAATACATCATATGTCTGGTATTTGGTAACAGAGAATTTACTTCATCTTATACTTCACTGGAAGATCTCATTTAGCCATTATATTTTTCTAAAAACTGATTGATGTTAAATTAGACTTGCTCATGATAAAAGAGATAAATAGAATTAAAGTTGTCCCTGTGTATAAGCAAAACATACACAGACATAATGAGGGGTGGAGTTAGAACTTTGTGGTTTTTTAATCTTTACATTAATTAGAGGTGAGCAGACAGCTTTACCCCTGTCTCCCTTAAGGATGCTAGAGTGGGTCCCAGCAATGGATTGGGCATGATAGTAAAGAGTCTTTGTCCCTGTTTTAATAGAATTCTGGCCACACAGTCCATAGTCTGTCTTTACCTAATTCTTAATAGTTTTCTACAAAAAGCTGCAGGCATTTTTGTTTCTTGAGTCTGACTTTCACTTTGTGTTGTCATTCTTTGGAGCTATACCATATCTTATCTTTGTCACTCATGCACCGATTCATTTATGTATACTGAAAACATCATGTTGTTTAAAGATGACTGTCTTCTGGGTTGTGCCATGTAGTCTGATTGAAGTTTTCCAGTGTTTCAGAGGCAGCAAGCACCTCTGAAATGTTAATAAACTTCTACCAATCTACATGGCACAACAACCCAGAAGGCAGCCATCTTGACACTTGTTGCCTTGAGAACCTGAAATCAAATTCGAAAGGAAGGAACTCTGTAACCCATTGTTTTTATTACAGAAACTTCTGGTGCTTGTTACTTTTGTCTTTTATGACAGTTTATTAACATTATAAAATTATTACTTATTTACTTCATGAAAGAAAGTAATGATGTCAGAATTTAAGAAGAGTTTTGTGTTTTAAGAAGATAGAAATTCTTGCTGTAAGTCCTGATCTTGATTGAATGCACATTTTAAGGTTGCTAAGACTTATGTTTGTATATAGGTTGATAACTTTAAGTAGGGAATTTTGGTTATTTTATATATGTAGCACCATTCAGGGGAACTAACAATATTATAACATGCCAGACTATGTTTCCATTCAAAGGTAGAATGAATACTTTGAAACATTCAGTACAAATATGATATAAGCATTAGTGTAATGATTGTTTTAAGAAACCCAGAAAGAATACTCAGTAACATGACAGTTTACCAAGTAATTCTCCCCCCACAGATTATTTTAGTCTTTATGTTAAAAGCTCATATAGAAGTGTTTGAGTGCATATGTTGTGTGGTTGGCATATGGGGATTTGGTTGGACATTTGGCAGTTGGATTTTGAGCCATTTTGAGACACTTTCTTGAATGATGGTCTGACCCAGTCTTGGTTTCATATGCACATTTCCAAGAACCTTTTCAGCATTGTTAGTCCATTGAAGATAGTCCTTTATTTGTATGAAATTGATTTATTTTGTTAAAATATACTATGAAGTATTTTGTTACGTAGGTATCTTTTAGAATGTGAGAAGTTGACAAGTAGAAATCTTTGGCTCAATCACATGCCATGCCGTGCCATGCCGCTATGTCCGACAGTTGCCTCATGAAGCTAATTTGATTACAATGGTAAGTGTTGGTGTGTAAGCAAAGTGACAATAAATGTGTGTTGTGTTTTGAGTTGATGTGAAGACAGAGACGTTGGTGCTCTTTGTTAGCCTTGTTGAAGTGCATTACTCTTGCCTTCAGTTGACAGTAGTTGTTACACATAGGAAAACTATAATGATGATACAGTTTCCATGCAAGGTGGCAGCAATATGGGTTAGCAAGCTACACATAATTATAACTAAAATAAATTTATAATAATGTTCAGTGTGAAGATATGTAATAAACTAACTTCCGCAGGAATCGAGTAAGGATGGTCGGTATGTAAAGTTTTGTGGTTTGTTTTCCTACTATTGCCACTATCTTGCTTGGCCATCATTGGAACTTGCTTTAGTAGCTGTGACCATCCTCCCTAATGTAACAAGAAAATGTACTGATTCTGTGAATGTAACAAGCAAACAGCAAAGTTCAAATTGTATTTTGCTCAGCATCTTCTAAACAAAAGCATGAGAAGCTTTTATGTACAAACAACATTATCCTGCATATATACACTAGTAATGTAGAATGTTGTAACCAAATTGTGTCCTTTTCGTGTATAACTTGTTGACACTGTAAATGAGAATACTGAACTTCTTTTTAAAAAAATTTTGGACTAACTTCTGTTATTCAAATGTTTTTCAAAATCAGCTATTCATTTAGCGTATCATACATACCTCCTTATGATGTATTTTTGAGACTGATATGCTGATACTGTGACTCTATGTATTTGTGTAGCTATGTAACAGTTGTTAGTATGTTATCAAGATGGGCAATTCTGTGAGATCATTCCAGATAACTTGAGTATTAATTGTTAAAATAACCAGACACTGTGAGGGATAAACAACATACAACAAATACAAGGACAGAACTGCATATCCCTTACTTAATCTTCTAAATTTTTACTTGCCACCAAATATTGAATGGTTAGTACTTCTGCTTTGTATTTTGAAGGTCTGAGGTTTAGTTTTTGGCTTGGAGGCCAGCTGTCCTGACTGAGGCCTCCCCCCTTCCTCCAGGCAAGTGCTGGGGTAGTACCTTGAGAGTTGTCATAATCTCTTCCTTCTACATTATTCCCAGCCACTGTCTTATTTTATACTGTACAACCTGTGCAGTTGAAAATGTGTTCTTAGGTAAACTAAGAAATGTTACTTGTTTTGTATGTGATCAGTCATTCATCACACTGAATGTATTTGTTAAATGAGTTGATAAAGAAAGACTCTAACATCACATATGAAGGGTAAATGTCTGTTTTGAAAAGTTACCCTCCATTTTACTGAAGCATCATGCTGCTTGCCAGGAAAGAAAATTAATTTTAGAGTTAGGAAGTTCTTGTAGCAACCATAAGTGCGACATTAAAATGGTTTGGCATAGATTTACTTTGGTGGTATGTAATGATATGCGTTGGTTGTGGTTAAGTAGAAAAGATTACACTTTTACTGGTTCAAGAAGAAAAACTCTTAATTAAGACTAATTACATTAAATATCCTTTAGTGATTTCCGAACTTTGTCTATCCATGTTTATTATGTTAACTGTCTTGCTGAAAATTTTGAGTAGGTTTTGAATTATAGGTTTGTGAGGAATTTTATAGAGTTTAGATAATACATGTAAATGTTCAAGTTATGTTCTTGATATCACAGTGAGCCTTTGGAATTTTCTGTATGCTGTTAGGATATATATTAACAAATTGGAAAGTACAGAATTGCCCTTAGCTTGATAAGTTAAAGGTGAAACATCTTGTCTCTCAGCCTATAGAATCACATTACAGCATTGAAGTAAGTCATTTGTTTGTCCATGTAGTGGCTTGTCAAGGAAATATATTTATTTATATAACACTTATAATTTAACAAATCTGCAGAATGGCTTCCATGAAATACATGTAGTTCAAATGGTACATTTCCAAGTAGCATTAATTGTCAGTCTTAATTACCTTTTTGTTTCTCAGGATGATAATTTCAATAGTTGCAGGTGACACATACATTCAGGTTTTTGTAAAAATCATTATAAGATGTAACAAGCAGGCCCCATAAATAAAATAAGAGTACCTTTACTTGTGTTCACTGTCATGTAGATAAATCAGGACTCTCATGATCACATGTGAGATTGATTTTTTGTTTTTGTTTATTGCGATTTGTTGTCAATCAGATTACACTTATTTAATCAAGTTTTTCCAGACCAGGTATTTAAACTATTCATAGAATGTAATAAGTGTTGCTAGATGTGGAATTGTCATTGATCATTATTCAGAGTTTTACAGACAATGTAGGCTTGTAATTTCTCATCAGTTTTATCAGGGTACATATTTGGTTTCCTTTTAGATTTTCTCAATTCTTGTGCTTGCAGGTTGGGCACTGGGATAGCGATATGTTCCATATAGTATCTCATTCTGAAAGTAGTTGTGTTGTGACTATATTTGTACCTTACTCATTTCAAGTCAGGCACAGTAAAGTTATGGCCATGCTGGTCTTGTAGGAGTTTGAGGGTAGTGCCCATTCATATGTATTCTGTGTAAACTTTTAAAGTGCTGTGTATATTGTGTTATAAATATTGAACAAAAATGTGACATTGGTTGCCTCTGACTTCAGCCACTCAGTCTGTATTTTAACAGTACTTGGGGTCATCTGTGATTCTGTGGTTTTTAAAGATATTTTAAAATAGAATCATTATGCCGCATTTTAACATAATAGTAGTAAGCAGACAAATGTAGTTGATGTTGCATTTCCAGTAGTAAGAGCACAATGTTCAGATCATACAAAGTCAGCACTGAATTTCTGATTTTTCCTACCACAACATTTTATGCTGTAGTTGTGTGAGATATGAGGATGTGGGAACTGTGGTCTGATGTAAGCACATAATGTTTTTCTAATGTCCATCCTGGCCTAGTATATTAATGAAATGATTACAATTAATGTGTGTTGTTGATACAGTGCTTTTCTACCATTTGTACCAATTCTCTTGTTAACTTGGTGAAGGCTTGATACCATTGAGCATATATATACTATATATATATATATATATATATATATCACGAGTATGCATCATTGCCACTATATTAGTGAAAACGTGTTTTGTATTAAATATTTCTGTTGTCATTTCTTAGTCAGATAACATAACAGCTGTATCAGTATGTTTCACTGTATACTTGGGTCTTTTCCATTGACTTCCATTGAAACTGTGTATGGTATTTCCAAATTCACACTATATCTATTGGTCGCATACATTTATGGCTGTAGTAGTCAGTGTGGAACTCCCATCCATGAACAGGCCCAAGTATAATATGTTCTCACATGTTAATTACTTCACTAAGTACACATATATTTATATATAAAGATGGGAAAAACATTCTTGCCTTTAATAAGTGACAAATACTTTAGTACAAATATTGTTTGATATGTATTCCGTCATCAGTAGTAACCAAGTATTATTCAGCAGTAATGCTTGGTTTGGTAGTATGATGAGCTCTTCAGATGTTGAATGATGACTGGTGCTGTATACCAGTGTATACTAACTGTGTGGTCCATCCTAAGAACATGGTTGCTTCAGAACTTGTATATTCCATGTTACTGAAAGAGGTAAAGAAACAGGGTAAAATCTTACCTGCCATTTACCTTTCCCCTTTACTCATATATTCTTAAAACTTCATTTAGATGGTTACATTTTCATTGAAAATTAACACCATTTTTTCAATATATTAAAGGCCACTGTAAATGCCTCATGTCCTTGCCTGTGAGTAAAGTGATGAAATTTATGTATAAATTCTTGCTCATATATTACTAGCACCCCTTTGGTGTATCAGATCTAATATAGTAGCCATGGTGCATTCCTTAACTGTTGTGTATATATCTGAAACAGATTTATGATAACAGAATAGATTAACACATTTTCAATATGTACAATGTTTCATCAGAATGTCAGAGTTGTACATGTTTATTGTTTATAATATTGCACTTTGCTTGTGAAGAGAACTTCAGTTTAGCTTTTCTATTGATAACCATAATCTTTCTATTTTTACTGCATGATGTTCCTTTGTTTTTGTATGGTGTAAATGCACAGTAGAGTTACATAAAACAAAATATGTACACTTATAAAGTTTTTATTTTAAAGCTCTATTATTTACTGCAGAAGAATGGAAAAGCCACGCTTGTTATTGTTGCTGTAAAAACAATAAATGGAGAATAATTGAAGAGAAAACCAGCCAAACTTGACATAACTTCAAGAGGCTTGTACTCTAAAATTAGAAGAAACAAAATCTTATTGGCCTGTTGGATGCCCAGATAAAACCATTCAATTTACTGGGCTTTATTATTTCAGATTTGAAGGACCCAACATTTTGTTTCGCTATGTGTAAATATTCATATGGTCCGGTTGTCAGCAAGTTGTTGCTTTTGGTGTTGCTGATTCAAACATCACATAGTCTTTGCAAATGTTGGTCTGCTGTTATATACCATTACAGCATCATAACCCAGATCAACATTGACACCTTCACTGCCATGAAAATGTCTCATCTAGTATTTGTTTTTTGGGGTAATTCATTGTTTTCATTACTTTATTGTCTGTATGCCAGTTTAAAAAAATACTGTAAATCCTTATACAAGGAGAATATATATGTGCGATTTAGGGGCATTGCCTTTCTGCTGTGTCCAGTTACTGAATTGGTTGCCACTTTTCCTACTTGGACAGGTGTGATAGTGAAGTTCATTCTTATAAATCACCATTGGTGATTAGAGGATATGCAAGCATTTATATCTGAATGAATGTAATGTAGCCAAGTAAACTTTGCACTAAAATGCTGAATTCTCTTTATCACTGCCACTGATTGACAAGGATCAAAGTGCTATAAATCTGGATATGCAAATGTGACCTGCAACTCAAAGATTGCCATTCACATAGCTTGGGCCACTTGATCAGGATGATGACTGATTGCGGTTTGTCTCCAAACAGGAACTGACATTTAACTTAACAAAACATTCATCGCCCTGATGACAGAGGCAGTATAACCTCTGAAACGTTGGTTAACATCGACCAGACTACACAGCGCAACAACCCAGAAGACTGTAAATCTTCAACTTAACAAAAGTTATACATTGTTTTATTATGAAAGATTTGTATTACACAAATTTATTAAATTTATTAGAGGTAATATGCAGGAGCAGTGGGACATCACATCTACATCTAAGACAATTTCAGGTCTAACAAAATCTAATATTTATTTCGTACGGTTTTCAAGCATGGAAGTATTTTTATTGTCATTTTTAGGGTGTTGTTTTGAGGTAATCCATTTTTAACATGGTTTAATAATGCCCATATCAGATAATGTACATAGTGAGGACAGTATTTATAAAATTGTAGGTTAAAGTCATTGTCCAAGGCTATAAGTGGACTTGTCGGTTTATTTATATATGACTACACAGGTTTACAACCTAGAAGACACCCATCTTTAAACTTCTCGTCGTGTGATCCACAAATCCTACCGTTGTTTCTGAATGCTGTCTACACTCGTAGCAAAGTGGTGATTGGTGAGGTTATCTGTGTTCTCATTTAAAACTTTGACACCTGCCTGCATGAACGTAACAACATTATGGAGTGTATAAGAAAAAGATCACTTTGCCAATGTGTATTTCAGCTTGATTGACGATTTATCAAGGTAAGTGGATTATATGGTTTTAAATAATAGACGTACTGGTGTCTGTAGAATTTATTCCAAATGCCGGGTTGTATTTGACGAGTACTCTAGAGAAATATAATTGATGTATGAGCATATAAACATTCAGAAGACGGTTTATTGTGGTAGAAGTTTACCGAAGTTTCAGGGGTACTTTCTGCCCTGATAATGGAGGAAGTAATTACCCCTGAAACGTCAATAAACTTCTGTCAGAAAACATGACACTGCATCCCAGAAGAGTCTTAATACTCACAGTTGAGAGCTTGAAATTTCACTTGCTTTTCCTCCCATTCATCGTGGTGACACACTCCAGCATGTCTTTGGCTTGTCTGTTTGCCACTCTTTGGCCATGACCATACCATATTATTTTTTTATTTGTATGTAATCAAAAATAGAATTTTGTAAAACCAATTGTTTTATTTGTTTTTTATGTTTTTGCTGATCATCTCCAGAAAATAGTCTTGCTTTGTTTCGGGGTATTTTGGAGCACAGATTGTGGAATTTTTATTGGCATATTTGCCACAGTCCCCTGCCTTTTCATAAGATTAAATATCGTGAGAGCGGAAGTGTGTGCTGAAATGGAATTCACATATTTTCCAAATGCATAGTTTGCATTTGTGCAATTTCATCAAAATTTATTAAATAGTTTCAGAGACAGAACTTGTAGATGGACATGCAGATGTAACTTCTCTATTATATGGTCCGTGTATGAACTTTATGGAAAGAATGTGTGATAAGCATTGGAATCTGGGCTGTCTGTAAGAATAACATGCATAATGTGATTTAGTTCAGGCTGCCATGAGAATAAGGTAGGACCAGTACTGTAGTTTATTTTATTACTAACTCCATGTCTCAATGAGAATAGCATAAGGCTGTGTTTTGCAACCTATGTGCTGTCGCAAGTTTTCAAGTGTGCTACAGATTTTTATAAGAATTTTTTTACTCATACATTGTGTTTAGAATAATGCAATATCTTGTCTTCTGTAATTAGAATCTATATTATACACACCACACTGGTTCATCATTGATAGTTTTATTAAACATGTGTTATGTTTCATTTTCATATGCCTGCATCTTAAAGGTCAAGGATATATATGTAGATACATGTTTGTGGCTGTGTGTAGTTTTGTACCCCCTTTTCTTGATGCAAACTTTTGTGGTGTTCTGCCATGTGTCTTTGACAAATTAGGGTCTATTGTGGGTGAAAAAAGAATTGCAGATCATTTGCATAAGGTGTACTTCGTGTCAGTAGACCATGCCAATAATAATATTGCAAAGCACATGTGACAGGAATAATTATAGTATAGTAAACGTAAGACACTTTTCTGTAATTGTCCTGTTAATAAATTAAAATATTCTGCTTTCAACTTTTATAGATATTCATTCTGCATAGGATTAAAAACATGGCTGCTACAGATTTGTTGGATTATTCAAATGAACAAGGCTTAAATGTTGACTGCACTCCAGAGAGGCAGCAGGGAATGGGAAGCTTAAGTGGATCTGGCCGAAGCAGTGTTCGAAAATCCGGAAAGTTACGCAAGCTGTTCACACCCAAAGAGTTGCACAGTGTGGATGAAAATACTGATATCAGTCCTGAACCATGCCTTAAAAGGAAAAGATTGTCATCAATATCACATACTGCTACTGTTGCAAATGGAAGTTATATTGATTCAAGTTTTGATGTTGTAGATGTAACACCCGGCATAAATGGATTACAGTCACTAACGTTTCGATCACACTTAAATAATTACTCTTCTGTACCAGTAGGCAACCTTAAAGTTACACCAGAATCTATGCAACATTGTGATTCATTTAATAAGAATGATTCAGAAAGTTTGCCACTGTCGCCTGTAAGTATTAAAATGTATGAAAATGGGAAGAAGATGGAAAAAGTTGGAAGGAAGGGATTATTTTGTAGGAAGGGAAGTAAGTCATCAGGAGTTAGTGGTATCACAAGCCTGTCGGCAGCAAAGACTTCCCATGCTACAAGCAGTAAGTGCAGTGGTTCAGTTATTGGCAATTCTTTAGATACAACAGGTAGAGTGCATAGGAGACAAACAGAGATTATTCACCACACCAAGCAGAATGGGTTAGGTAACTTCTCAGAATTGATACATAAGATTCCTTGCAGAACTGAGGCAATTATAAGTCCTCAGAAGTCTCCACAATGCAATGAAGACGAAGAAGAACTTCCTCCCACTCAACCTATAGCCAGCCTGTTACTAAGAGGTGAGTGTCACCAATTTGTCCATAAAATTAGACATATGTGTGTATGTATGTGTGTGTATGTGTGTGTGTGTGTGTGTGTGTGTGTGTGTGTGTATATATATGTGTGTGTGTGTGTGTGTGTGTCTTTGAAAAGTATTAAACTTTTGTTGTGTAATTTTTATTGTATGAAATATGAGTTGCAACGTCATAATGGTGACCCATTAACAGTTGTGAAGTTTACTACAGCAAGGAACTTCAGATATCTGTTTTGTATAACCTTTTCTGTTAAGATCATATAAAGAAGTGAACAAGCAAAATTGTCATACTGTCATTTATTTGGCCTGACACATGTTTGTTCAAGTTACTTGAGACTCTGTTTACAAACAATTCAGCAAGATTTATTCTTACATGAGTTTGCTCTGTACTACATATAACAAACCATGTAAATAAAAAATAGGCGTTAAATTAGATCAGACCCAGTCTGTGAATTTGGCGACGTGTGTAATTATTTACAGACGTATTCAATGAGATTTCAGATCATAGTTCTCTGAGGAGTGAAACCTGTTTCTCAAACTACTACCACCACCACCACCACCACCACTAAAGGTTCAGTGCACTTATATTTGTTGCACTTCCTATTTTGTAGGAGTTGTTGCCTATGCGGAGGTTAGGTCAGGAGGTGACAACAGATCCATGGGAATCAAAGCTCACTTGAGATCACTTGGTGCAAATGTGAGGGACAAATTTACAAATGACGTAAGTTGTGGACATTTAGAGACAGATATATGACTGTGTGTTATATTTTTGCCATCTTTAGTAGCAATACTGTGTGCAACCTGCACAGAGGAGTTGACAGTGTTATCTCTATACTAATGAGTTATAAGCGTTTTATATACATGGTTTTAATACCCTTGAAACTGTGATAGATTGCCATCATATGCTGCCTTGTCAGTTTATTGTATCATTTTTATGAATATAGTAAATTTGCTTCCTTCCTGAAAAATTATTTTCTATTTAGAATCATAATGACAAAATGAAAAATATTTGCCTGTTACAGTTTTTATGAGACTCCAGTATGTATCTTAATACTGTCAAAACTGTTTATGACAAATATATATCCTACATGTTTCAGCCAAAGGACAAAATATATAAGTTGAAGCCTTACAAACTTTTTTCAGCTGATCACAAATATGCAAAATGTACAAAACCATCAGAATAATGTGCAGAAAATTCTAGGCAGTATCAAGAAACTTGAAGCACAGTAGTAACTTCTTGCCTGGGATTCAATTTGTGAGAATAAGATTAATATTGGAATTTGTATTAAATCCTGTATATGTCTAGCCTGTGTAACATAGCAAAAGTTTTTACCCCCTCATTTACTGTGACAAATAAATCTTATTTCTTAGTAAAACATAAAACATAATTTGGGATTCAAGTCTGCAGAATATAAGACAGAATTTTTATTGTTGGTGTATGAATTTTTGTGAAGCTGACTCAAAACATTTTCCCCTGTTTTGTTATATCATGATAATGTATTACTGGAAGATGCTGACTGTGATGTCTTTGTAATAATGTTCATTTGGTAGGTTACCCATGTGGTGTTCAACGAAGGTCTGTTATCAACTTACAAGAAAGCGATCAAGAGGAAAGTGCATCTCGTTTCTGTGTCATGGATTGAGGAGTGTAAAAATGCACAAACCATAGTATCAGAAAGGCTGTATCCCCCTTTTGATATGGCAAAATATGAATCTCCAAATCTTTTAAAGAAGTTCAGAAAAGCAAAATCATTGCAACCTGATTTTGAAAATGTAGAAGAAAAAATTAAAAAAAGACGCCAAAAGAAGTTTGTCTCTGATATAAAGGAGAATGAACCAGAAATTGAGCTGCTGGAAGAACATACATGCAAAAAGCAGATAAAAGTGCCTGAATTTCTTCAGAATGTTAGTAATGAAAATGGACTTGTAAGGACTTTATTGAGTGTAGCTGATATTGGGCCAGAATATGAGAAGATTGTTAACAGACCTGTGAGTCCAACCCTGAGTGAGGAGGAAGATTTCTCTATTCCCCTTGCAGTCCGCTTACTTAGAAAAATTCTTACTCCCCAGCCTAGTCCAGAATTGACCTCGTCAAGAGAAGGAGCTGCAGATAGATTAAAAATGGCATCTTCGGTAGATGACATGAGTATTTCCCCTGGAGCATCCAATATTCAGGAGACCCCAAAGAGACAGTGTGGGCAAGATCTTCAGAGAAGAAACAAAGTTCTTCCTTGCAGTTTTATGGATGGCAAAGATACTGATACAGCTGATACAGGGGCTGAAGTTGGTATAAATAATTTTAATGTGACTACTCAAAGGAATAATTTGTCTCAGTCCTTATCTGAGTCTCCAGCACTCAGCAGATCTGGTAAAGTCTCATTAGCAAAACCAGTGAGAAACATTCTTTTATGCAGTAAAGACAGTGGAGCAAAAAATGACAAATGCAATATGTCTTCAGCAAAACTCCATACTACCACTGGCGGTGTTGCAGACAGTATGATAAAATCTGGCAAAAATGAAGTTCGGAAGGGTGAGAAAAGAAAACGGAGTACAATGGAAAATATTATAGTTGAGAATTCAGATTACAAATCTGGTAATCAGTGTGAAAATCATCCAGTTAACACTGAAAATTTAAGAGCTGGAATGTTTTCTTCTGTATCTATGAACAAGGAGGATCAGTTTCCAGATGATATGTGCGGTGGTGCCACAGTAAGTAAAATAACTTTGAGGAAGAAAAGGAAATTGTTACCTTTGCAACAGCTTAATTCACCAGACATGTTAGATGTTTCTGCAGACACAGAAGAAACTTGTGTTCCATCTGTGCAGTGTCCATACACACCAGAAGGGAAGACTACTGGAAGGAAGAAAAGGAAGACATTGCTTGTTGCAGGAGAAACCAGTGCCATGGAGTTGACATCTTGTGTACCATCCACTTCAACCCTGAAGGTACTGAAATGCAGCAGACAGATTCATAAGAAATTTGATTCCTCCTCAAATGAAAAACATGAATTTGTGAGCCAAGTATCTTTATCCTACTCTAGAAGTTGCGTGGATGAATTTATCAGAATCCCTGAGCTGCCAGCAGTGGAGAAGCCACACAAAATTTTAGAGAGAAAATTGCCATCACTAGTGTGCACCGGTCTACACAGACAGTAAGTTCTCTTACAGTTATGGCAAGCAGAAATATACTAGTTCTTTGTCTTATTTACAGTCAATTTAAATGCAAACTGGGGATGCTTGTATGTTTTAATAAGCCTGTTTACTCTTCCAACAAATTTTCTTAAATCAAATCTTCATATTATGTTCTGAGATCTGCTGTGATTTGTTACATAAGGAAGTAATGCAAGATACTGTTATAGAGTTGTTAAAATTAGTTGTGATTTCAAAATCCTATCAAGGAGACAAAGGGTTATATTTAAGGTATGCTAGTAGTCTGAGAGTAGCATTATCAGTTTGTCAAATATTTTCATGTTTATTGCTGTAATGAAATGTTCACATTGTATTTCAAATGCCCTTGACTTCAGTCTCAGCTGTGATTAGTTACATATGAATTTAATATATGGTACAAAATGGTATTACTACAGTTTGTCATATTTAAATATTTTGTCATTAGGACAGAGAAGTATTTCAGTTTAACTATTCATTCCATATGCATCATTGCATCAATCAGACTTTCATGAAGTACTTATAAAATACCTCTGATCCTGCCCAAGTTTGGTAATTGTTAACTGGATTCATAAATTTTTTTCCTAGTTAAAATAACAGATTGGAACACCTATTGTATTTATTTTCTCTTTCTTTTCTTCCCCTTAAATAACTATATAGGCTGAATATATTTTAATACAGTTTAAGATTTGTAGATCTTACTAGTGTTTATTGACCAAACAATGTTTATATTGAACAGTTTATTATAATTTTTCATTTCTCTGCTTTTAAACACATACAAGCTCACATCTTTCTAATTTTATATGTGAGCTTTTGAGCAGTTTAAAGTTGTTCTGATAATAAATGTCAATCTTTGTAACATAAAAATTATAATTTTAATTGGATTTGTATATGTGGTGAAGTTTCAGGTTCTTACAGTAGCACATATGAAGACTGTCTTCTGGTATGTTGCACCATATAGTCTATTACAAGCTTACCACATTTTTGAGGTACTTGCTGCCCTAATTATGGAGGCAGCAAGCACCTCTGAAGTGTCAGTATACTTCTACCAGACTACACAGCACAACATGCCGGAAGATGGTCATCATACGTGTGGTGTGTATTCATCTTCCCCAAAATTCCAAATATGGGGATTTGTTTAAAATTGTGCAGTGTAGACCAAATTAAATGTTATTGGTGATAACCAGTGTTTCATTTAATGAAAATTGTATGTGTCCTAACAGGCAGTGTGAGTAGATAATTTTTTTAAATAAAACTAAACTCAGACCAAAGCTAAACAATTCTAATACTTTGCATTTTCTTTGGTGTTTCAGCTTCAGTAACAAAATGTAGTGTTCTTCCACCAAACACATGATACACAGTTACACAATTTATGAAATAAGTGTGCAGTAATATTTATGGACAGCATCAAACAGTTTGTGAATCTTCATTTTATTCTTGTTCAGTGTGAGAATACTGAAAAATGTTTTCAAAGATAAGTTGTAGGTGATAATAAAAAATAATTTACTGTGTTTTGATTTAATTAATTAAAATTAGCATATCTGCATATAATTATGTAGGATTTGCTAAGCATGCAGCTTGAACTTCAGCATGTTCATTCATTTTACAACCAAATTAATAAGTAGTATTCCACAACCGGTCATTGGATTATGCATTATATTTTTTGAATAGTGCTCAAGGTTTATTAAACTTCTAAAATTTTGGCCAGCACTGATCTCTACTTTGAATCACTCCCAAACTACCTGCCTTTCTAATTAACTCAACATTTTGAATTGAAGAAATTATACATGCTGTAGTTTTATTGCAGTGAAGTGGAGGTTGTGGCATCTGTGGTCGAGAAGTTGGGAGGCTTTATTATAGAAGCTAATGTCTCTGAAAAGACCACTCATGTTGTCACACAAGGATCAAGGCGTACAATAAACCTGTTGAAAGGAATTGCTAGGGGCTGCTGGATTGTCCTGCAGGAATGGGTGCTTAAATCTCTGAGTGCTGACATGTGGTTGGAAGAGGATGAATTTGAACTGGCTGAATTCTCCCCAGCTGTCAAGGTAATATTATTTTTGTATACAAAATATTGTAATCATAATATTTTAATATGTGTATTCAGTTTCTTTTATTTTTAAATAATTTTTATTCTGTAAATGATTGGAAAACCTGGAGGACAGAACTTGGAAGACCTGGGTATAGATGGAACTATTAAAATGCACCACAAGGTAAGAACATTTGATTATTTGAACTACTACAACCATTTGGAGAAGGCCTTGTGACTTGCAGCAGTTAGTGAAGTGCTTCAATCATATTGTGACGTCAACACCAATCGACTATGCGCCCTATGTCAACCTTGATTTATTGTGAATAAATCAGTTTACAGAGTCTACACACATAGGCAACTATCCTAACACTCGGGGAGACGATTCTTTATAGCCGTCGGCCCATCTGTGGAATGTTCCAGACCAAGGATCTAGAAGATTCACTTCCTCGAATGTTCTGTTAAGGAAGTGATTACACCGTCTGGAACATTCCGTGGTGGCCACGCCTACAGCCTGCATCCACCAGCCAGGGAGGGAAGTTAGGCAGCCCCTCTCCTCCAGTGTGAGCCATATGCTCTTTCGGCGCCATGTCAAAATATTATCTTGCTACCTTCTTCATATTTCCTTCAAACCTTGCAATTGATATTTAAAACAAATTAACTTGTGCTGATATAATAATATTGAAACAGTGAGGATTCATCCAATTTAGTGTCAGAACCAGTGGTGGGCTGTTGCTAACACAGTAACAAACCTTTGAATATTCATATATTCTTTCTTTCTTTCTTCTTTGCAGCAATGCCGGATGCAGAAATTGTCATTTGGGCCTGTGTACAAACTGGACTTGTTCAGAACTTGTGGTGCCATCTGTGTGAGTAAGAAGAGTGTACCACCAAAGCGAGTCTTGGAAGAGTTAATCACATTATGTGGTGGGCGTGTAGTGCCTGCAATTCGTTCTGCTTGTTTATTGGTGGGGAATGGTTCCTGTACTCGGCATGAACATGTTAAGCATGTTAATGAAAAGTGGGTATTGGACTCCATACAATTCAATTCACTCAGACCAGTGAGTGAATACACATTATGAGAAAAATATTTTGGGTTGTGGGTGGGAAATGACGTGTCAGAGATTTTAGTGTACGGTTCACTGTACTGTCAGAATAATGCTTAAAATGGGTAGCTCTTAGTAGGTCATTAAGAATTTCATTTGAATCCAGTGTTGAACTCTATAAAGATGGTAAGGGGTCAGCTTTACATTTTGATTTACCATTCCCAGGAATGTTAGTTGTATTCATTTCATCCGGTTGATTTAAGTTAGATATGCACCATTCTTTCTTGTCAAGACCAAGTGAAGAACTGAGTGTATGTACTGAAAGATAATAGATATCTTTTTGGAAGTATTTGTGTATGACTGCCATAACTGAGTTAAATGAAAACATGCAGTTATGCTGACTTACATTTCTGTCTCCCTTCCAGTGCTTGATATTTGAATTCATTTAAGAAATGATTTTTTCTCCACATGAAGAAGTGATAAAACAGCAGTCAAATGACTAACTGATAATAATTTGTTTACTTATAAAATTGTAATATTTTGATTCTTATTATTGTTTTTGACTGCATGGCAATGAGTCTTGACTTTGTGTCACTTTGATTATTTAACATTGCTGTCTTACCCTAAAGTGAGTTTCATGCATGTTAGAGATTTTCATAAAATACTCCGTATTGAGTGGAACTTAGTGTCTGTTACAGTTTTGAAAAGAGAAATCAAATTCAGTTATTTAGTGCCTTTATATGTACTATTTTGACTTCATATTTTAAATTGAATATATAAGGGAGTAGCAACCATTTTCAGTTTAAAAAAAATCGTACTCAAAATATGCATTGCTGCCTTAAAACAGATAAGACAAAATTTATCAGTATGTAAAAGGATTTAAATTTAAATTGAGAGAGTTTCAGCTGTTATAATTATAGCTGTAGTAAATGAGAAACTGAAGTTTAGAAAATGCACTACTTCCTCACACTGAAGTTTTTTGATGGGACAGTAGTACACAGCAGGAGTGTTAATTAACTTGAATAGTATTTGATGTAATCTCTGATTGAGGTTCCAAGGCCATGTGCTCTGGTCTAAGAGAATTATCTTTATTTATGTATGGAAAATCTGCTGTTTTCTGTATTAATAATGTGTTAATAGAATTGTGTTGCCAGTTCTGGAAGCATGGCTTTTCTTCAGGGTTTCTTGTTTGTGTTTTCAAACAAAATATTTGAGATTGTGAGTAAGTGTTTGAGGTTTGGTAATATGTTTCTCTGTGTGTGTGTAAGTAAGTCTGCAGTATTTGCGTCTGTAATTTGAATCTTATATTTATTTGAGGTCTGTGGTTAGTGAGAGAGAAAAATATACAAAAAGCACATATTTAGTATTAAAATTATATGTTGTAGATTTCACGGAGTTTTCTCTTGTTCTCTTCACTACTTGAAGTACGTGATCACTAACAGTTGTAGCTAGGACGCTGTGGCATCTGCAGGAAGACACTGGCTTAAAGCCTCTTCATTTTCACTTACTTGGTGTAATATTATCATCATATGGTAATAAAATGAAAAATTCATAACATGTAAGTAGTGCAGAGATGGTTTGAAATATATAATAAATTGAGGAGTGATATTGGATACTGGATATCCAAACTGTTATCTGGAATGTCTTCCTCAAGAAGTTCAGCCCAGTTAGTCCTGTGGTACTGAAGATGTCATAGCAAAGAAACTGAGTAGCCCATCTGAAACAAATATGCTGTGGCACAATATTCTGCTGGTACCTGAGCCCTGGAGTGGAGTTAGTTCAGTAATGCTCTGAGCATAAAGTTGTCGCATACATTCTGATGTCCTTCATTGGAGATACTATATTTTATTAATTGTGTTTTACACACATCTGTAAATTAAATATTCTATGACTTGCCCACTTTGTTCGACTTTTGCGCAGAGGCAGTGGTGAAGGTTCTTAGTTTTTGATGGTGGTGTTTGTTAAATTTCTTTATTTCACTTTAGTAGCTTGTTTCCCCTTCCAGACATGAGATGTTTTTTATGGCATAAAACATTTATACATTTTAAAAATTGTGTATGAATAGTCATTGATAAATTTTTCTAAATTTGTTAAAATAAGCATTGTAATAATATTTTAAGTAATGTAAACAACAATGGAAGCAAAGGGTATTTTATTTGCTTGCCTCTTTGATTTCATTTCAGGAGTAAAGAACTGATGATCAGATATGTCTGAAATAAATAGGTGTAGACCAAAATGAGGGAAGAGAATAGTTTAATCATGTGAACTTTGTTATTGTAGTATGTAAATTCATAATGCAATTTTTATTTCTAGATAGATTGATATTATTTAGACTTTAATGATATATTTTAATGCATTACAAAGATGTTTATTACCATGCAATATCTTCAAGAGATTGCTAAACAATTTGTGATCCAAAACATTTTATTTTTCATCTTGCCTAATAACCTTCGTTTGGCTAGCATCTTCCAGGCTATAATCTTATAACAGCCAGACATATAATAAAACAGAGTCGTACTGCATAACAGCAGTCTTATGCTATTGATGACGGTTTTTGAAGTCTTTCAGCGTAGATACTGCTGTCATACTGTGTTTTTGTTGTCCTGCTCAACCTCACCCAGCCTTGAGGTTGTAGCAAGAACCAGTAAACAAGCATTTTTGTCACATTCTAGTTGTCATCATCCAAGTTTCCTGTCTCTGATTGGAACAATGTCATAAACATATAAAACACAGTATTCCCACAATTACTACGCTACTGTTTTTCTTTAATTTTTTCAAAGTACATCTTACAGATAAAGTACAATAATGGTTGTTTAACAAACTATTAGAATCCTGAAATTGTTTAAACTGCCTTGTATTTTTTGTTTTTGTTTGGAAATCTGTTTTTTTCAGTGAATTAAAATTTTAACAACAGCCTGAGTTGGTTATTTGTGTGGGGATAAGCTTACAATCTACTAGTGAATGCAGGTGAGTTAAGAAATCCTTGGAACTGGTGTAAGCTCCATTATTTACAGAATAAAGCAACAGATTTCCATCAAATTTTTGCTGCTGTTCATGACATTTCTTTTTCTTCCTAGGCAGTGCTGCTTTCCTACCTATCACTTGAAATGTACTGAGCATGTCCTGGTGGAAGAGCAGGTGCATGTGAACAGTTCATTTCTTCAGGACTCCACAACCTTGCATGTAGACTGCTGTCCAGCACTTTCACCCTTGTACTTGTTATTCTGTGTGAAGTGTTTAGATGCCCTCTGTAGTGGTGGTTCTGTGTGTCTCCTGCACCAGGTACACCTGGCTTCCAGGCACTGTGCTTGTGGTGACGAAGGTACGGTGCTTGGCACGAATTAATGACAGGTTGCTCTCGGCTGTGTCGGCACGGTCCTCGGCTGCCTCGAGCTCCCGCTGGAAGCGACGCACGCGTGTCACACTCTGCTGTGACATGCCCTCCTGTGGGAACGTATTAATCCATAATTTTTGTGTTTTGTTCCACATAATATGTGTACAGTGAAGTATTTCAAACGACACATCCTATTAACTTAAAACTGTATTCAGTTACTGGTTTTTTCTAAATTTTATCTATAAATAGTCTCCAGAAGTTAGAGAGCTAGGTGAGTAATACTGGCTACAACTCATTGTTTTTTAATTTAATTATATACTAAAGTATGCAGCTTTGATTGATGAACAGAAAAAAAGTAATTGTAATATGACCTCATATGAAATTTATTGTAGTGCGTAACATAGATTTATAATCTCAGAATTGATTTCAATTTTCTGTGATAAGACGGTTCATTCCTCTGAAACTAATACATTCCAATTTAAATGTAAAAATAAAATAATTTGTTAGTGCACTGGGAAGTCACACGAGATATAATTTCAGAATAAAGTTAGCTGGAGAGGAATTATGTAAATTGGGCATATAAGCAGAGAAACTTGGTGTGGATCAACTGACCTGTTCTTGTAGCTGTCTCTTGTAGATGCTGACCCTCTGGCTGATTTTATCAAGGGACTCCTGGAGCAGGGAAACATTTTTCTGGTCTTCTTCCGACTGGATCAACACCTCCTTAACCTGGCGTTCCTTCTTGCGCAGAATCTTAATCGTCTCAGAGTGGCGACGCTTTTCTTCATCAAGCTCCAGTTCCAGATCACGTATCTGTATTCACATAATAGGGTAATACAATTAGATGTGATTAGGACTTATTTACTATGGTACAATGCTTATGTAAATAGAATTGATTTAAGTTCTGACAAAATAGTAACACATAAGACATTTTTCTGTGTAATGATTCTGTTTCGTAGACTATGCATCATAGAATCAAATGGTCTGTAACTGTCAGACTCACCCTAGCTTCCAGCTTGCTGATGATGCGCTTGCCACCAACAATAGCATTGGCTTCTACTTCCTCCAGGCGCACAGACAGGTTCTTCACCTCAATCTCCAGGGACTTCTTGATGGCCTCAATCTTGACAATGCGCTCCTGTTCTTCATGCAGGATCTCAACAGTGTGCTTTAGTTCAACCTGCACGCGCTGGTAGCGCTCATCAGCTGACTGCATTGATAATAGTCACAATGAAAAGAGGCTATTGTAATGGTTACACCAGAAGGAAAACAGTACAAACTTTAAAACTTTCTGTGTTAAATTGGTTCTAAATTGGAGTTAAACATAGTTTGAAGGTAGGATTTAGCTTTCTATGAATGTACTGTGGAAAGGAAGAAATGAAAAATGTTTTCCACAGATTACAACAGGTTGGAATTGGGGTATATAACCTAGAGATGAAATTTAGTAAAATGTTGAGCAGGATGTATGTAAGATGTCTATCTTTGGTTGTAGTGCCATGTAGTCTGGTAGAAGTTTACTGACATTTCAGAGGTCCTTGCTGCATGGTGCTACAACCCAGAAGACAGACGTCTTCAGGCTCATCACCGTGAAAACCTGAAATTCTACCAAGGTGTATGTACTTCTCACCAAAAAAAATATTGATTTGCTTTGAAAAGAAAGTTATATAAGTTTATTATTGAGTTGGAACGTACCCTGAGTTCACGGGTGACCTCATCGTAGTCTCCGGCTAATGTGGCAAGTTCTTGCTCCACCTTGGACTTGGAAGATGCCAAATTGACATTGATGGTGGTCAGCTCATTGACTCTGGAGATAGATTCCTCATACAGCTGCTCAGCTGTTCGCTTGGCACGCAGAGCCTGTACAACAAAATGTTTTCAGCATTGCTTTAACCATAATCATTCAGATAAGTGTCTGAGTCTTGATGTGTAATTACTTGCCTGCTTGTAGAGCTTACAGTGACACAAGTTGGAAGTGTCCAAAATCAAGATCCCCTAGTCAAAATAATGTGTTTGCTGAAGAAAAACATACAAGGAAGTGGAACAAGTAAATTTATTAGACATGTGACACAAATATATAAATAACTGAGGAAAATAAGCTAGAAGACGGAGGCATGCAATAAATCATAGAAAAAGTAACATGCTGGAAAATCCTAACCAATTAGGAATATACTCTGGAAATGGGAAATGCCTAAGAAGTGGAAAATGTGCCTATACATGCCCATATTGATGTATGGTACAGAAACATTGACATGAACCAAGGCAGATATTAGTAGGCTAACAGAAGCAGAGGTGTGATACTAAAGATGTAAAAAAGGAAAACCAAACAACAATAAGAAATGAAAAACATTAGAATCTACAGATGAACACATTTGAAGTCAAACTAATGTGTAATGGAATGAGATGGTATGGATACATTCTAAGAATGAACATGAAAGTAAAAGGAAAATGCTCAAGAGGAAGACTGAGGTCATGGTAAGAACATGATGTCTCACAGAAGGAAGGACAGAGACAGATGGAGAGGCTTTGTTGTCAGATGACTAAAAATCAGCAAAAGAAGGTTAAAAATGTTGATCTGACTTGTTAAAATCTCAAAAAAAAAAAAAAAAAAACTTTTAAATCAGAAACTACTGAAAGAACATGATCTGTAAGATCTCGTGGAAAATTAATAGCTCGTGTTTTATTGTAATACCGGGAAGATTGATGGTGGGCTGGTCTGGCCAGTTAAAACTCCATATGCTAAGAGAACGTACCGCCTCGTAGTTTCCACGAATCTCCTCCAGCTCAGCAGTGATGGACTGCAGCTTACGTTGGGCCATACCATACTGGTCCAGAGTCACCTGCAGTTGACGCTGCACCTCATCATAGTGTGCCTGGATTTCCTGTGTGATAGAATTAATTGGTTTCAGTATTATGTGTTAGGATTGTGTTTTTATTGATTGTATTTAGTTTTTACAGTGTACAATTTTAATTGCACATTTATGTCAGCATGAACTTGAAAACATTATTATTATTATTATTATTATTGTCCCATCTCTTCACCACTTTATGGGGTATGTACTTCTATGTACCCGAGACAGACCTTGTCCCTAAGGTACATAGGGCAGCAGCTATTTCTGGGATACATTTTGTTTTTAATATGTATTACATGTATTATATTATTTTATTTTACGACAGCATCTTTCGAATGATGTATGAAGTTATTATTATTATTATTATTATCCCATCTCTTCACCACTTTATGGGGTATGTACTTCCATGTACCCGAGACAGACCTTGTCCCTAAGGTACATAGGGCAGCAGCTATTTCTGGGATACATTTTGTTTTTAATATGTATTACATGTATTATATTATTTTATTTTATGACAGCGTCTTTCGAATGATGTATGAAGTTATTATTATTATTATTATTATCCCATCTCTTCACCACTTTATGGGGTATGTACTTCCATGTACCCGAGACAGACCTTGTCCCTAAGGTACATAGGGCAGCAGCTATTTCTGGGATACATTTTGTTTTTAATATGTATTACATGTATTATATTATTTTATTTTATGACAGCGTCTTTCGAATGATGTATGAAGTTATTATTATTATTATTATTATCCCATCTCTTCACCACTTTATGGGGTATGTACTTCCATGTACCTGAGACAGACCTTGTCCCTAAGGTACATAGGGCAGCAGCTATTTCTGGGATCCATATTATTTTGAGTAAACATAAAATAACAGTTTAACTTAATACGTTATTAACTGTTCATGAATCACTGAAATATCATTATATTGTCATAATATCTTCCATCAACATGCATTTGTATTAATGTGGTAATATTTCAATGATTAACAAATTTAATTGAACCAAAGACAATGGATAGGAATCAAGTACAATTAAAAACAACTTTTGAACAAAAGGTAAATGAGTGATAACAATGCCAGTCCCAGTAGCTGTGTGGTCTTAGGCCATTTGAATGCAAGAATTATAGTTCTGAGGTTCCCAAACCTTTATCATGTGAGAGTATAAGTTCTGTGGGGGCAGCAGCTGGAACTCAGGTCTGGGGTTTGATGGTGTAGCAGTATGTCACTGCAAAACAAGGCCAGCTGGACTGTGTGCAAGTAATGATGCATGACTGATAAACATTATGAGTGATTTAGAAAATGCAATAGAGGTGGTCCGGGGCCATATTAGGATGTGGCATGAAAATAAATTATTTTGTGACATTCTGGCCAAATACAAAACTGGTCATCATTCCTGTATGCGAAATTCTGGGAATTGTCATTATATTGATATGTATTTCGTATTGTTTTAATTTTTTATATCATTGGAAATGGTTGGGATTGAATTAAGAACCTTAAAAAATATTAAACTTGTGCTATCTCAGTAGTTTTCTGGTAGTAGTTAGAATATAAGTTTTAGTAGTGAAAGGGTTGTGGGTCCAAATCAAACTGTTACCACTAATGTGATAAATAAAGAAAAATATGTCTGTCAGACTAATGAGAACCAGTTAGCTGAAGATAGGGTTTGAGCCAACTGTTGAAATGCTGTGCTCCAGTATATGAAATATACTTCATATTGTGTCCAAGAAAACTGCAGTGTTACATAGTTCCTCATACTTGTAAGATTTGAGGTTTTCACAGCGGTGAGTATGAAGATTACTGCCTCCATCATTAGGGCAGAGGCAGTATGACCTCTGAAACGTTGGTAAACATCGACCAGACTACACAGTGCAACAACCCAGAAGACAGAAATCTTCCTCATACTTACAGTGAGGGTGAGGGACTGCTTCTTGATAGTCTTCTGGAGTTCAATGTTGTTCTTGTTGGCAACATCCAGAGACATTTCTAGCTCAGTGATGTGGATCTGCAACTTCTTCTTGATGCGGGTTACCTCAGTCTTCAGCTTGGTCTCCGCCTCCACAACACGAGCATTGAGTTGTTCAATTTCTATGCTGGTCTGCTTGCTGCAACACATTTAGACACGGTTTAGAATTTGCTTGTACACAGCTCACTCAGTTTGCAGTGTTTAGTTTCATACTACCCCACTGAGAATTTTAGTGTGTTCCTTAGTTTTCATGGTGGATTGCACTACAAGTAGCGTTACAAAAATTGAAAACCATAAATTGTATGAACTTATATATCTTTATAATTACACAATTCTTATATAACCGGATAGCTGTTTGCATATATAGTTTTACATTTCATACTTCCACTGTAAGATGTATGTGTCATATACATTATGCATTGATCTAATAACTTTTTATGTACCACTACACTGCATAGTAAGAATCTTGTAACATTTCTCTTCAAAATATTAATAAACTCACTGTGCAACACTTACAACAAATCACACCCTTTTCATTATGAACCACTGCATTACATACTGATACCTCTTTTCCTCAAAGTATTGTGATGACTTCTTATTAAAACCCTTGAGCTCAACTTTCAGTTCATCCAGGGGCTGTGTTATGGAAGTTTCCTCATTTTGTTTCCTCTGTCTCTGTTCCATGAAGCGCACGTGTTCGTGTGAGTCATGAGATGACAGTTCAGATCTGCGCTGGAAAGCCTTGATGTCAATCCCTGTATTTGAAGACACATTTCTCAAACTATCAGCCAGTATGTGTGCCTCAATTCCTTTGGCTGACTTCCCGCGCAGAAACTCCTGAGCAAACTTGTGTGCATCTGTCAGATTCTCATCCTCCGTAATGTATCCATCTTCAGCCATATCTTGTATTTTTTCGTAGCTCTTCACCTTTTTCAGTGTCACTTGATGGATGTGTTTTGTTACTGATGCTGCAGATGCAGATTTTGAAATTGAAAAGTTTGTTCTTTTTGCTAGTTTAAATGTGTTTAGGTCTTCCTTAGCCTGCGTCTCAGCTTTTCTAGCCAGTTTATGAACGTCTTGTTCTGTGTATGATCGAAATAGATTTCTGGAACTATAACGGTCAAGTCCTCTTTCGTTATTCCAAGGCAGATGAGGATATTCCTTTGGCTTTAATTTCTTTTCCTTTGTGTCCAGGTATTCTATCATAGGCTGGTAGAAGTTGAAGGCATATCCATAGTTGTCTTCATACAAGTGTGTAGGTGGCTTCTGCCAGCCCTTAAAGACTGCAACTTCACTAGAGGCTGGCATCCTTGAATCCAGAGGACCAGTAAACTAATTTTAAACTCCCAACAAAAGAACAGACCACTTAATTTTTTTAATCAACAGGATTAGATGACACCTCTTTTTGTTTGATGGAAAATATTCACTAACAGTCTGGGCTGATGCACTTAAGTGTTTGGCATCTTGACAGTCTTGTATCAAGCCCAGAAGTGTTTTGTTCTGAAGGTTGATGAAGTCTACCCTTCCCAGGAAGAGCTAGGATTATATAAAGCAAGTCTGGATGCCTGCCTTGAATACTCTATTTATAGCAAGATTCTTGAGCTGTAGATAGATGTGTTACCTCATTAAGTGTCCTCTCTTTACAGCATGATCAGCTGATTGCATTTCAAACCACAAGGATGAAGATAGTCACTAGCAGCATAGTCACCCAGCTGTATCATACAGCCCATGCTAATGTTACTGCATTAACACTCTGTACCCATTATAAAATAATATTTTGAAGAAAGCAGTGCATTATTGTATTGAACTGAAAGATTGAAATTGGAATTATTCTTTACAATTTTATTTATTTTTAAATACTAAATGAGGAATATAAAAATAATTTTACTCATTGTATGTGAATAATCTGACTCTATGGAGTAGAGTCTTACTTGAGAAGATTATTCAAAATCATTAGCAAATGAGTAATTAGAACTGCTATAGAAAGTAAATGCATTGTTTGAAAACCATTCCCACTAGAAAGATGTGAAGTTATATGTGTACATTCTGTAGAAACAAAAAACGTGAATAATAATAATGTATAATTCTTGACAACAATGTATAAAATCATCCCAGTACCTTGATTTAGAAATTCAGAAGATGATATGGTAAAAGCTTAACAACCAGCCATTTTGTGAAAATTATAAGCAGAGATTAGTAGTTTCTGTAAAATATATAGAAAAGCCTCTCTTGATACAAAATAAGTAAGTACAGAATAGAGATTTAAAGCAAGTATAAAAATAATAATGATGCTTATGTCATTCTTTTATGATCTTAGAGTCTCAGAAGTGCCTCTTTATGATTTCAGATCAAGAATTGACAGATTTGGTTCTCTATATATAACTTGCATACGCAAGTCAAGGTTCTACCGTCCCCCTCACTTATTATGGTGTTGTGAACCAAACACTCTGCCAGTTGGCACCATAAATGAACTTATTTGACATCAACAGTGATTAACATTACAAAACCCTTCACTTTGAAACAAGTGTTGTGACTGATTATTGGATGCAGTTTCTTGTGTTTAAGTACTTCCTTTGGGTTTGACTATTTGTTCATTTCATTGTATATTTATGCATTTGTAATAATGCTGCCTTTTTAATAAGTGTCGGCTAAATTCCGCAGAAAACTGATCTCTGCAGTAACTATTTTTAATTTGCGAGTAGTTTCTCTTAGTCTGTTTTGCTTCATTGGACCAATAACGCAACAGTGGCTCTGGCTTTTCTGAGAACTAGTACCTTTTCTGTCTCTTGTACACTACTAATATACCAAATTTCATGGCTTAGTGGTTAGTATTCATGCTTTGTGTTTGAGATTCTGGGTTCATATCTTGGTCCAGAGACTGACTAACCTGACTGAGGTTTTTCATAATTTTCATTAGTCTGTCCAGTCAAATGCTGGATGGTACTACAAAAATTATCCTAAAACCATTTCCTTCCATGTCGTTTACAATTCATTATCTGTTCATCATCCTGTTATTTGACAGTGTACGGTATAAGCTACTGGTAGTATCATTAAATAAACCACAAATAATAACACCCACTGGTCTGTAATTCCTTTGTATTGATAGTCACTTAAAATTTGCTTGATTAATGGAGAAACTAAACTCCATTGTAAAGATTTAATGTCTCAGCCTGTAGTCAGTCTTACGCAAATCTCTTTAAAATTGCCTTTCTATTGTATTATCATCAGACTACTCAACTGTAAGCCTTTTATGATATGGAATTGACTCTTTGCATGATCACTCCAGTTTTTGGTCTTACAGGAGTTGTCACTTAAGACATATTCCTAAAAGTTATCCCTGTCTTATTTGTCTTCTTTCCTAAACCTGAAAGAATTTTCTGGCAAGACCTGCTTTACTGAAAGTCTTGGTTTGAAACACCTTGTACAACATCCAACTCTGTTACTATCTATCAGAATGAAATTTTCTTGTAAGGTAAGGTTTCAGTGGCGTGATCTGTCATTTCAACAAATGACAACACTGATGAAAGACTCGGACAACAAGCCGCTTCACTTTATACAAAGGACAACACATTTGGAGATAAAAATTTATCAGACATGCCCTGGTTTTACTTATCTGCACCCTGTCCACAATCAAGAGTTAGTTGTAATTTTCCAAAACTGGATTGCAGTTACTGAACTGAAGTTACACTGTTCTGGTTCTACTTACCGGATTGCTTCTATCTCCTCATCCTTCTCAGCCAATCGCTTCTCGGCCTCATGACGGAAGTTAGTCAATTCAGCTGATAAACGCTGAGCTCGTTGTTCTTCAGCTTTACGGCCCTGTAACCCACAAAACATCAGTCTTTTGTCTGGAATCTGACATAAGGCATGGTTCATATTCTATTATATTCTTTCTTGCTGGGATATCAAACAGAATGGGATTATTATTATAATGGTTGTCACAGTTATGCATGTTCAGTGTAGAACAAAGGTGTTGTGGGGCAGGTTATATATTGAACTGTTCAAGAAATGGTCTTGCCACAATGCAAAAAATTGGAATTTTAGACATGTGGAATATACACATTCCAGGATCTATGTCAAAGATCTATCAAACATTGCTGAGTACCAGGTACCGCTAGCCTAACATTCCATACATATTAGGGGTTTTACATACAAGCTGGAAATTTTCTACTCTTGATGCACCAACAGAAAATCTGTGTTCCGAATACTGTGCACACTTACAAATATCGTCTGTCATTTTGTGGGAGGACAGATTTGTTATTAGATAGTCCATGAAGGTGGAAGTGTTAATGGATGCAGCACAACTATTCTGTTCAGAGTGAATGTTGTTAAGTGTCATTCCAGTGCCCCTTGTGAACCAGAATACTCACAGCCTCAGCCTCCTTGTAGGCAGCTGTCAGCTCTTCCCTCTCATTCTCCAGGCGACGCAGCTCAATCTCCAGCTCGTGGAAACGGCGGTTAAGGTCAGCCAGTTGGTTCCTTGCGTCATGCAGGTCATCTGAAGACAATAACCATTATTATCATCTGGCAAAGCTCTACAGCTTTAGAGAACCTATTATACATTCTGTTATGCCATGTACAACACAATGCTGAATGGTCTGGAGATATGTGAAGCATAAGAACCATGTTCTGTCTGCTTTGTATTGCCACTTACCAGATAGCTTCTTGTTCTCCCTGGTCAGGGAATCCTTCTGCTCACGTGTCTTGTCCAGCTCATGAGTGATGCGCTGTATCTCTGTGATCTTGATGCGCAAGTCACGCTGAGATGTCTCATACAGGACTACTGTCTCATCCAGTCGAGTCTTGATGTCAATGTTGACCTTCTCCAGATGCTCAACACGCTTTTGCAGCTCACGGGCAGTGTTGTTAGCCTGTGGGGTTTAAGCTCTTTGTATTTACACATGTTCAGTTTCATTGTTCTCTGATAAATTATGCTGGCGGTAGCATAGCTACTGGTAGGGCCTCCCTAGCCAGATTGGTCGAGGGGGAGAGATCAGACTAAGACAGGTACCGTGGTCCTCCAGGTTGGGGGTTGGTCGCAAGGCTAACAACCTTGCACCGTAAAAAGGAAGATGTCTCGAAACCTCGATCAAAGCCTCGGACAGACGGACCTAACAGAGGACTGAATGGAAGAGGAGAATTGAGGAGGCCATGGACCGAATACGGTCCGGAGAGCCATAGAAGAAGAAGAATGAAAGACACACTTGTACTATGTACCAGCAACATGATATACTTTACAACTTATTGATAACCCAAATACAGTTTCTCAGGTATCAAGTTACTTAGGCGATGAGACAGAATAGTATGAAGATATTCACTAGCAAATGGGTAAAAACTGTTGGAAAGCAAGGGATTCTTAGGAGTGAATCTGCATGTTGATTCATTTAAACATATTCCACACAAGTAAAATAGTGCTTCATGGACCACATAATTTATAGATTTTCATGTACCATGTGTTTATTTGTTCTGCCTGACAAATTTACTTGATTTTGAGTGTATGTGATATTATATTTTATTTAATAAGTAAAAAGCAATATTGATGCTATTCCTTATTCGGTAATAAATAGTAGTGTCTTCATAATGCACAAACTAGATTTTATAAGCTATTAGAGGATCTATGTTACATGGTTGTTATATTTTCCATTGAGTGTAGCTATGGGAGAAAATTGCCCCTTTTCATCTCAAAGTGATTGTGAAGCCTCCAGAATATATATGTACAATGAAAAAGTGACAATTTAGTTTATATTTATTCAGCATTTGATCACTGATATATGGTCAGCTTAGGGAAAAATACCATAATTCAGTGTTACATAATCCAGGCTCTTGAAAAAGCATTATTCCATAAACCAAGGATTGTTAACATTCGCTATCCACTGGACCAATTTGTAGAGTGGCCATTCTGATAACTTCAGTGGAGGTATTAGATTCACAAGTAACAAATTTAATTATGCTCATATAAGCATTATTCCTAGCAAAATTTGGGCCATTTCTGTTTGAATGATACTCTGATTTACCTTCTCCAAGTCAATGATAAGGACTTCAACCTCACTCTGGAGGCGAGACTTCTGCTTCTCCAGATTGTTGAGCTTGACCAACAGAGTCTCAATCTGCTCCTCCTGCTCTTGTAGACGGGCAGTGTACTTCCGACTGCAATTGCAAATTAAATACACTAATTCTTAGACTATCTGAATAGAGAATGTTCTAGAAAGATGTATAGACACTTTCAATGAATGAAGACATTTTAATAAAATGTGTCTAGTTCAATGACTACTAGTTTCTTACGAAGTACTTTACTCTGTGTAGTATTTATTTAGAAATTTTCCAAAATAATTTGACTTACTGAGCAGTTATTTGTATGTTTGTTAACAAAAGTGTAAATTTTAAAACTGAGGCAAATTTCATGGAATTTTACATCAATATTATACTGCCGAGAGCCATCTCAGTACCATATTTATTTTAAGCTTCTCTCAGTGCTATCCAGCTGGTAAGAAAAAAACCCAATCAGTATAGGATTTTAAAATTCTTGATTATTGTAAATCTTTGAGCAGTAACTTCTTTTGAGAGTCACATTCATCACAAACTGAAAATTATAATTATGCCATGAATTTCAGTTTAATAAAGCGAGATAAGCAACTGTGTTATTTCATATACGTGCAATAACGTGAAACCTAAATACAGAATAATAGATGCTGTTTCAACAAATGAATGAAGTTTTCTTGGCCCAATTGGGTACTGGAACTTTGCAGTAGTTCTTACCGGATCTCCTCAACCTCCTCAGCACGGGCAGCAGCCTCACCCTCGTACTTGGAGCGCCAGCCCTGCGCTTCACCATTGGCACGAGTCAGCTGTCGCTCTAGGTCCAGGCGTGCCTCAGTCTCTTCCTCCAGCTGTACACGCACTGATTCAAGCTCAATCTCCACCTGGTGCAAGTTTGCTTCCAGAGTTGTGCGTCGCTAAAAAGATCATAATATCACTTCATAAATACAAAAGTTATGAAAGTGCTTATGAGGCAACTGTACTACGTTAGTTATGTAAGGCAGATTTCAGTGTGTTTGTTGTGTCACATAGACATACCATTGCAGCTAGGAACTCAGCCATCAGTTCTCATATTTGGGTACAGAAATTTTGGAAGGTTAGTTGAACCAGTCATCTCTACAGAGCATTACGCCTGATTTTATAACATGTTATGGACTTAATATTTACTTCAAGAAGTGGTTGATATAGGATGACTTTCAGGTATTTGAACATTTTTGTCTGACAAACTGGCACAAGATAAGAGACCATTCATATCTGACAAAGACAGAAAATTAATAACAGACCAAGATATAAAAGTGACCTGCTATTTCAAATGTTTAAATTGTGGTTGTGTCAATTATACATCAGTTTAGAACATTTAAAATTAAGAAGAGGAAATGCTATAAAGTAAAAATGAATAGAAACTGACACAATTAACACAAAGTCCTCACAAATCAGTTTTATTGATTTTTAAAAATGAAAATTATGCAAGTATTATTATACAATTTAAACATGTATTTAAGGCAGAAATGCCATGTTCACTAAATTGCAGGTAATATGAAATACAGGTCTTAAACCAGTAATCATGTTTTAGTTGTAATTTTTTTATACTTTTAAATCAACCTTGACACCTGAACATTTCAAATTGATTACTAAATTTGGAATAAGTTTATTAGATACTATAAGGTTTCTGATGCATTGTGATGTCATAAAACAGCCTTCCTTACCCTCTCATCATCCTCAAGCCTGCGGCGAGCATCTTCAAGCTGTCCGGCAAGCTGGCTCTTCAGATATGTGGAATTCTCCAAGTTCACCTTCAGATCCTGCACTTCCTTGGTCAGCTCAAGATTTTCCTATAACATTCAATAAAACAGGTCAGATGAAAGTGACTACACACACAATTTAAATAAGTGAATCGCTGTAAATAGAGTTATCCTCAATTTTCACAATCTAAGTATAAAATAGGATTCAGCCAATACTTTCTTCAAAAATATATCTTTCAAAATACGCTGCTAATATTGTATTAGAAAATTAAAGTTGTGTTTATTAGACCCAATTCACAGTCCATGGAAGTTAAGTTGAACCTAACAGACTAATGTCTAGTGGAATTGGAAGTAGTGGGAAAATGTAAAAATGTATCCCAGCGATGTAGGTTGTAAAGTTAGAACAGTGACAATGTTCATTCAGTATAGTATTTATCTCCTCTATCATGTAAACTGAATCTGAAATTATATTTATGAGTTTTTGATCATACTAGATTACAATATTAACATTTTTGGAAGTTAACTGGTTCCGGAGGGGGGCGAGACAGAAGGTTTCTATAGGAGCCAAATACCCTTGCACCAGACGTACATTTGGGCACACATAACAAGGCGTCAGAAAATCCGAATTCTTTTGATAATCTGATATTTTTATGTTCGTATTGGGTCTATTAAACATTAATAAAACTCCAACTTTGCTACTAGTTTGTTGGTGTAGAAGAATATTTGGGTGGAAGTTTTTGAGGCATTCACAATAGGCCTGATGTCCTATATATATATATATATATAGGTAAGCATACAAACCTGTGAGAGGCGTGTCTTGTGGGATGTAATGTCTACAATTGTACGGTTCAGCTCCTCGATCTTGATGGACAACTCGTGCACATGCACCTCTAACTTTTCCACCTGCTTGATGCTGACCAGCTGTAACATGGAGAACCAGGTTCATTCAGTCTGAGTACAGTAAAGCAAACAATGACCTACTTTTGAATACACACGCTTGTTTCGCAGTGTTTTTCATAAAATAATGCAAAAAATGTAATGGATTTGTAATTAAATTATGCATTCTTTGCACGAAGCGCGTAAAAGGAAGGCATATTGGGGATGTCGTATGTCAACGAAACTGTTCAGCTGATTCCGATTAAATTTCCTGAAAGTAAGACGTGTTTTACCCAGAATTCCATTTTAATCTTTTATTTTTTGCTACTTTATCATCATTATCATATGATTTTCTGAAGTACATTACCCTTAACTCTTCGTTGTGTTAAACACATGTGAATGTATTAAATCTAAATATCCTATAACTGTATTTAACATAATAAAATATAATATATCAAGAATTTAAATATATTTACAATAATTATTTTGCTACACCAAGATATAAAGGATTTCAATGGCAGGGCAGTGGGTTAAGAGATTTTAAAAGTAAGGGAGATAAGTTGGAAATTGCAAAATACAATGGAAAACATAAATTCAAACCATTGAAGCCATTTTTAAACAGAGGGACTATCAGTTAAAGATGTACTTCTTGTCCAAATGTATGTTTTTATTAAACTTTATTATTATGTCTCAATTAAAGATTGCTGTATTCTGGGTTGTTGCGCCGTGTAGTCTGGTAGATGGTGGACATCTACCAGACTACACGTCGCAATAACCCAGATGACAGCAATCTTCAGACTCTTACATAGTACAATATATTGTTTTCTGCAGTTGAATACTGCGAACGTATTTATTTCTACTACGTCTTAAGTTTTGAAAAGTTATCAGCTGATATTTCTAGGAAAATGATGACACAGAAGTGAATAAATTACATGATTTTCACAACTAATCTTGCTTGTTGTCAGCTGTTGTTTAGCTACATATTTGAGTCAACACTTAGAATATAATCTTCCATCATTAATATGGGTCAGCTCACCTTGTCCTTAGTGACAGATTCTACCTGAGCAAGCAGTTCATATACCTCCTGCTGGAACTTGGCCTTCTCCTTCTCAGATCTGCAAGCACAATATGTTCTCTATTCATTACGTAGCTGTCACTACGCAGGGACAGAACTGAAGTTCTGTTACGAAACGTGATATTGACGAATAGATTTTAGTCTCTACCTCTAAAACAATAAAAAATGTAATACAGTATAAATAAATGTAAACAAATTAAATTGAATACTTAATGTCCCCTTTTTCTCAAAATTTACCACTTCCAAAGTGTCTATCAAACTACATGTTTCGGCCACTATAATTCTGGATTTGTTTGTGTTATTTCCGTGGAGACACGAAATGAGAACATAATGGAGAGGCCATTTGTGTTTTGCTTTTTAAACTAATTAAAGGGTATAAATAAATTTTAGAATTAAAGTTGGAGAAGAAATGTTCAGGCAGCTGTAATTTTAATCTCTGTTCATGTATTGTAACCCCTATTTTCAAAATAAAATAAAATTTAAGTTTGTGGAAATTTTTCAAAATTTGTACTAATACTGTAGATATACTGATAATATGGTTTATGCTAATACATTATAGGAAGAAATAATTAATGTATTAATTAATGTCGATTTTGCGTGCTTGTCAAAAGAGGTATTTGCAGCAAAGAAACATCAAGGTCGGTGAGGGGATTAAGAATCATAAAATGTGGAACGTTTTTAAATGTTTTTTATTAATATTTATATTTGTTGCATTGTGCCGAATTTTTTCAACGTTCCAAAACGTGGTTTGTAAAGGTTTTTAAATAGTTAATTAAGAAACACGTCTTCTGAATACTTGTCTGTAATGGAAATCAACGTTTTGTGTTAAGAATAAACCCCCGACCATCCGTTTCCGATCCCATGCCGGCATAAGTTTGCAATAATAGGACGTTAGTTCAACGGCGTTCCTTCCACTTATATTTAAATTTTAAGCGCGAACGCTTGTATGATATTATAACTGTAGGATCTCGGGCGACAAGTTTGACCGGACTAACGTACGATGTGTGAGAAGAAGGGACCCAGTGTTCGTGAACAAATATGGGCCGACAGGGCAGCACGAAGTGAGCGAGTTTTACAGAGAAAGCGAGTCCGACGACGCGCCACGAGTTTAAAAATAGGAGCCGTTGGCCTGCTATTTTCATGGCGTCCCAACACGCTGATTCGGCCGGCCACAGGTAATACTGTCCGACGCACTCTTGTCGCCCAAGTGGGCCCCTCCCCCCCATATTTAATTGCTGTTGGTGTCCAGAGCTAAGAGCTTTGATGATTTCTTTCGTGAGTGAAGTGCTCATATGTTACGGGGCTGAAATTTCAGTGTTGATTGGCTGGGTGATTGGTTGTTTTTTCAAAGACAAGAATGGGATATTGAACGAATTACGGAGGTCCCAGGACCGGATTTAGTTGTTTTCCTCACCTGGCCCTCGACTTGGTAAGCTGGTCGATTTGGTCCTGGAAGTCGATAACGATCTCCTGATGCTTCTTACGCAGGAGATTCGCAGTCTCCTCAGATTCGAGGTGGACATCTTCCAGCAACTTACGGAGCTTTGCCAGTTCAGTGTCTCGTTTTCTGTTGATCTCAAACTGCAATCCGGATGCAGAAGTTTGAAACAGGGGTAGGACACTCTTATAAACTAAATTAAAACAGAAATACGACCTTGAGGACTTTGGTCTTCCAGGTTATATCCCATTTTGAAATTGTAGGCAGGCATCAGCGGTTAGCTTTCTACTCCCTGATAGCAATGTATATGGGTGGTGTGTGGAATTGGTCCCAGAACAAAACACTGCTTTGGAATGGAAGCACTTTCAGAATTTCGTGTATTATTTTGTCTGAAAAATGCGTTCTGCCTTCCAACACGCCACGCGGTGCTGTGCGAACTTTTACACTTACGTTATACATCTGTTATGAATTGTCTGCGATATTACGTTTCAGTTATACGTTTTCGTACCTCAACTCTGACGGTCGCACTTACCTGGCTCTCAGCGCCGCCTTCAGCCTCCTCAAGACGTTCCACCAGTTGGATGACTTGCACGCTCAGGTCCGACTTCTCCCGCTCGATCTGCAAAACCATTCAAAACATCAGGGCTCTGCGAGTATCCGTTAGAACATGTGCTAATGTGTGTTGATATCCACTGACAATCCTTTAGTACCGAGTTTGCAGGTGAATTCTTGTCTATGATATTGACGTACGTGATTCATTCAAGGGACCGACAGAGTCGTGCAGTTACCCCTTCATAGTTTAGTGGTAACTATGTATACCACCTACTTTGCCCCTTTATAGTTTGATGGTAACTATGTATACCACCTACTTTTAATGTCAGATCTGTTGCAGGTTAGTGCCCACTTATAAGAGTCATTAGGTTCTTAGAAATCAGACCAAAAATGTTCCAGAAAACTATTAAAATACTAATGTGTGTAATGGTGATGTGGTATGCTTCCTTTAACTAAGAACCTTGCGTTTTTCAAGTATTGTTCGGATGAGTTTTGCCCTCTGAAGAAATGTTATAGCTTCATGAGATAGTCTGCAGATGCGAGTATTCTCCAGAGCGGCGTAATCATTGCCAACTCTCATCACTCTTTCTACTACCAATCCTCCGTGTTAAATTCCCAAAAAAAATTTGATTGTATCGTAATGCCTCCTCCGGGTTAGATAAATGTTATATCTAACAGCGGTAGGATGTGATCCCGTCACCTTTCCGTCATAGAAATGGCCTTGTTCAAATTGGCAGCCTGTGACGTCACAAGGCTGTATTCGTGTATGTTCATTGTTTTGTCCATCAGCATAATCGTGCCCTGTGCCAAATGTGATGGACAGACCATGTTCCACCACAACACCAGTCTAGTAAACATTAAAATAGCGTGCGTTTGCTTACAGTTTGCCTGATTTATATTCGGAAGCTCACAGGGCCCATTTCTAGAATTACGACCGACAGACCGAAAATGACGACTGAGTGTTTGGCGTTCCTTCATCGTATTCCGAAGATCCTGTTTAGAATCGCGGCCCAGAAACTGGCTTTCCTGAGGCTTATCTCTTCTCGTGCAGAAATTTTTTTAGGATAGAGTTCAAATAGGTCATTATTACCTCCTTCCACGTCTGTTCTAATTCACTATCATCGTACCATTTGATTCCGTATAACCTAAAAAGTTTTTTTTAAAAGTCGTTGTACAAGGTTGGACATTATTTATGGTTTATTTCGTGTTCACATTAATGTTTGATTCTTATTTGGAATGTGTTGTCCATGTTGACATGATCAATATTCCAGTAATATCTTCATGACTTCATGATATATAATCTATAAATAACAAAACAAAAAACCAGACTTCCGACATTTACTTATATTTGAATTGTATTTGATATTTAAGACAATATATTAACATTTGAAATAATATATGCCTGTAGCAGAGTTTGGTTATGTGGCGTCTAGGAGCTTGAAATTATTTTTAGTGTCATTTCAGTAGAATGCATTGTACTGTATATTTTACATTTCTGTTTTGACTGTGATACATCATGTTTTCACTGTAACATGATAACTGTAGTACAGTACAAAGTACTTGGACGGAGATGAATGTATTTTCGGGGTCTGAAAATTAAAAAAATATTCTTCTATTTTGATGTTCACTGTGCATCTCAACCTGCAAGGAGTCATGACCCCGTAGCACTCTCTGGAGTTATGCGAGGAACAGTTTTCGGTGTCTCTGGACAGAACTGTTCTTCTTCTTCTTATTATTATTCTATTTTAGGCCATGCCATAGGCGGCTGGTCGTCGGATTCTAGCCGCAGACGCCCGGGTTCGCTCCCAGGGCACTCTATGCGTAATTTGGAGTGGAAAAAGTGGCATTAGCGCAGAACCCTTCAGTTTCTGCATCTTATTACGATTCCACCGTACTGATTCAGTGGAGAAGTGCCCTTGAGAAGCTAGTAGTACATTCACTAGACAAGAAACCCCTACTTTTATGAAACCCGAAGGTCTATTTCCGTGTTCACAAGAGTCCGCCACCGGATTCACACGCATACCATTGTCCCCTAATATCCATTTTAATATTATTCTCCCGTCTATGCATAGGTCTTTAGACCCTCTTTCTTCCAGGTTTTCCAACCCAAAATTTCTCGTCTTTCCCATGCGAGCTACATGCCCCTCCCATCTCATCTTCCTTTATTTGATTGTCCTAATAATTCCTATGAATTATTTTGTAATATTCTGGGTTGTTAACTTCCGTCTAACACTCCAGCTTGAGGACCAGCATTGGCTGTCCATTGCATTCGAAGCTGCCCTCCATATCTGGAGGCCGACATCTTCATGCGCAACCTGAGAACGTATCCCATTGTGTGCATATATATATAGGCTATGTATGTATTTGAGCATTTGAAGGAATATGGGCGTCACAGGTTCACCAGACATATTGTTCTTAACCACTGTTTTCTTTGCAAACGAGCAATATAAAATGGTGTTACTGGGATCAGGTCCAAGGAAGTTTGAAACCGTGCAGTTGCAGAATCCGTTTTTAGCATTCCCAGATAAAAATGAAAGTAATGAGCGTGGACTTTGCCACAACTTCATCGTGGGGTGTGGCATGTCAGCGGGAACCACTTCATCCCAACATTTTAAATTTTTCGTATCAGGTTTGTCTTGCGCGTGGCAAATTTCTTCATGCTGTTCGCGCATGCGTGTATCCAGTCCAGGCAGGGCATTCTAAATCTGTCCTCCGACTCATAAACTGGAGGGAACATTCCTTCGCTTTTCCTCATTGCTTACAACCAGGCCCTGCACCCTTCGGTTCGTTAAAAGACGCTTTGCCACGCGCCGATGTTATTTGAACACTCTGATTCGCTTAGGTCAGCTAGTGACACACATCAAATGTTTGCAGGACTGAAGCAGAAATTCATATCGACACGTTTTCCGTATATTTAATTAAATTATAGCGGGATGGGGTAGTTAGGTTAGGAACCGAAAAATATTATAAAATGTGTATTCTGCTGTGAAACTAACAATGTTCATTTAGATTTCTCTGCAACAGCGCTGTTGTGACGTAGAGTGACCGACAATTTGTAGTGCTATTATGAATGTGGTGTGATGTGTAAAGAATTCGTATTTTTATATGGAGTTTTGGTAATAACCTCTTCCCGTCTTCAGATTTTTGGTTATCATTTTAATTACACAAGTTATATCAATATTAGTAGCCGGTTAGTATCGAACTCAGAACTTTTTGAATATATTAATGTTGTATATTAAACAGTAGAACATCTCAGAGGTTTTTTGGGGGAAGGCAGAATATTCTGTTTTGAATACGTTTTATTGCAACCAATGTAAACAGTATATAATCTAAAGTTGTTAAAAGATGTTTAGGATCCCGGAAACAAGTCATAACATCGTAGGTCGTTAAAACTTTTCTTTTGTTGAATACTTTCAGTGCTACTTTCGAAACAAAACGTATGCAGAAGATGAGTTACTGTTTACTTAAAGATCTCTCTGCGCATCTCTCCACAGCTGTCTCTGAATTCTTTAATTTGGAGTGAGTGTAATATTAGATATTTATATCGATGTGAAATTTTATTTCATTGAAGTGAAGATGGCCGTATTCTGCGTTGTTGCTCAGTCTGGCAGACGTTCTGCGACTTTTCAGAGCCACTTGTGGCCTACATTATCCGCCCTGATGATCGGAGCAGCATGCACCTCCGAAACGTCTGTAAACTTCTACAAAACTACGCGGCGCAACAACGCAGAAGACTCATCTCCACACTCTCCGCCTTGAGAACGTGAAATATCGCACAGAAAGTTATGAATTCCCTGACCAACTGAGTAACTGAAAGTAAGCAAAAAACTAAAATGTTAGTGTATGACAATCACGGGGGACGCGAACTTTCAGGACGTAATGTAATTTATATCAAATATTAACAGCATTCTACGTAGTAAATGAACGGTTGTCACACACCTGTAAAGAATCGGTTTGAATTTTGGTATCAACAGTGAACCCATCTGAGGGTAACAAATTGTCTTTTTCGTACTTTATTATCATTTTAATATTTATTTTTAAAACCGAATATTTATTGGTATCTTGAGAGATCGGCTACACCATAACTTCTAAAATAAACTTAAAACACTGCGTACATGTAGCATATGCCGTGAGCCGTGTCATAGACGCGTGTCGTGCTTCTGAGATCCCTACATTAGGCCATTTGTCTTCAGGAATTGTAATATTTTGGGCGTTCGCCTTCTATTTTAACCTGGCGTTGTGCAGGTGATTATTTTGGGATGTCATGTAGGCCAGGCTACCAGCGTTATCAACATATCGCCTGGCTGGCTCTGTTTCTGGCTGTGATTCCAGTATGTGCTTCTAAGATAATTTTACGCTCCACAATCTGTAACGATTAATATCAAACCATTTTTTTTTTCATTCTGACGAAAGTCATGGTACTTCCTCAGCATTTGAAACTGAGCCATCACCTCTGTCATTAGTTGATGATGGAGGCAGTAAGTACTTTAGAAACGTCGGTCAGCGTATGATCTGAAGCTTAATTGGCGATGAACATTAATGAAATCTTTTCGGGCTTTCAGCCGTGTCATTTCATGAAAACTCGACGTTCCAAGGACCGTCATCAGGATAGTGACACCACTGTCCTGATGATGTCATCTTCAGAAAGCAGCGTCCATATTCTTGGCAGTGGATGTTGGAAATTCATGTCTTCTCTGCAGAGCGTGTTATTTTTACATAGCTGCTGCTTTCAGTGGCATTTTCCATGTTGTCGCTGTGTTTATTTGGAAATTCGTTCTAGTATAATCTGAGTAAATATATACATTTCCATGGTTCGATTACCTGTTAAGAACTTAAAACTTTCATAACAATTAGATGCAGTTGGGGGACGATTCAGACTTCACAGGTCGAGTTACGTTTCTAGAAGTATATATACTGATATTTCTTCATACACATTTCTCATTCTGTAATAAATTACATATTTAATGCACATCTGAAATATAAATTGGAAATAGTAAAATGTCCCTGTGGTTAACGAAGAGTATGAATATGATTATATTATGTACAAATTAAAACGTGGTGACTTATTCCCGGAAACAGATGTGCTAGCATTTCGCCCGGAATTACACTTACTGTATTTCTTATAGTTAGTTTGAATACTTGTTAGATCCACGAAGAGTATGTATCAATGTTGAATTTGTTAATTTTTATACGCGAATACAAAATTGTAGCGACGTTGTTATGTAGGCAAACGTAAGTTTATTTTATAACTTTTTTAATTGCGATTTAAAATCATAATTAAACTGTACATTTTTGTATTGTTTATTCCTGGCTGGCGCGTAGCAGAGCTGCTAGGAAGGTGGTTGGCTGGTACTGTAGAAAGTGCACTAATTTTAAGTAAGACTAGTCTGGCAATATAAGACTTTGTTGGTGACGTTCCTAAATTCTTTTCATAGACTTCCGAGCGGAACTGAAGGGCCCAGTCTTTAGAACTTTCGTCGTCGTCGTCGGTAAGTTGACATGACGATATAGTTTTGGTAAACCATTCATCTATTGGCGTGACATAGTTTCTAATGAAAATTTCTGATGAAGCGTCAAATTTTAAAGTTCGAAATTTGATTTTTAAATAAGTTTCTTAAGTGCTTGGAAATGTTTCGTTCCATTCGATAAATTGCGGTGTATCGGTTTTTGTTTGATTTCTGATAATTATAAATTTTTTCTTAAGCTTTCCTATATGTAGGCCGTTATATGTATGGGTGCTTTAACGGAATACATTTTTGCATATATTTGCCCATTTTTATTTCTCAGAGAAAGTTACGCATGTAACTTTAAAATCTATCGTCTTTCTTTCTTTCCCAGAGCTTATAACGAATAGTAACTTAGCATCACTACCTCATCCACAAATGAACCACAGTCATTTCATTGGAAACATCAGCCCCACAGAATCATTCTAGCCTCCTTTATAACAATAACACGAATTTTCTTTCTAAAACGCTGTTTTCAGATTGCAGAAAAACTTGGCTTAATCTTTTCAGAATACTTTTACTTTATTGAAGAACAAAGTTGGCATATGCGATCGTCTCGCCTGTGTGACCCCGATTCCAATTTATAATAATAAATACAATAATTCTAACACGAGAAGCCTTCGATCCCGTGACTATAAGTGCAGAATCTCAGCGCTCAAATTCGTGAGATACATTGTATTTTATTAAGATGGCTGTCTTCTGGTTTGTTACGTCTGGTAGTAGCTGACGCATCGCCCTGATGATGGGGGCAGCAAGGACCTCTGAAACGTCCGTAAACTTCTACCAGGCTACTCGGCTCTGCAACCCAGAAGACAGCCATCTTCGGAGTTACCGCCATGAAAACCTCAAGCCCTGCTTGTATTTTGTTGTTGGGTTTAAACGTAACTTGGAACATAAACTCAACCACTGCTTATTTAACGATTGTAGATATTCGTTTGGCCTGTTAACCTGAAGTAATCTCTTGTGTTGTACAGAAAAGGACAATTTGACCTAACCCTCAGTTTATCACAGCAGTCACAGCGAGTTTTGTAAGGTGTTCCACACCAGTACTACGAAATATTTCTTGCCTGTCCTTTGAAGACTCTGAGAGTAGTTACTTTCTCATCATATATATAATCATTCTGACGGTAAGCAGGCGTTCCCTGAACGCAGTCCGGAAATACCATCATCCTCAGCGTCCGGGAAAGCTTCCAACTGACAGCCAGATTCCATGCAAAAACTTGCTGATTATGCCCAGATGTGGGCCACGATCTGGCTTTGATATAGACACCAGGAAAATTTAAATTACAACCCTGCCCGTTGGAAAGAATCGACGCTAGAGAAAACTTGAAAATATTCGATTGAAAAAGTATTTTGGTTAGCTCTCCTTCGATTTTGAGACGTTCCCTTTGGAATCTTAGCTCAAGAACTGGCTGTCCTAAGCGATTGCTTGTGATTCTTTTGTATTGTTTCAGGAAAATGTTGTAATAGTTCCTTACAGTAAGTCATGACAGCACATTTTCAGCGTTCACAATCTCCTGATCATTCAACATTACATAAGTCAGTGCTGTTGAAATATCGTCGTTAAATAAGTGAAAAGTCAATCACTTGTTATTTCGTCTTTAAACACGTACAGAAAGGATGTTTACATTCTCAAATTGATTCTTTTATCATGAACGCGAATATAGTTTTGCTAATTTTCCTCTTGTGAAATCTCGTATCAACTTTTTTCCCCAATTACTCCTAAGAAACATTTAGAACACGTCTGATGCATTGAATCGTGAACACTCACCCTGCTTCCTTTACTGATATCCTAATAATTAGTCATCAAATTCTTCTACATGCATACGGAGTTGTCCGTTGATAATTTTGTAACACGTAAAGATTATTGGTTATTTGTGATACGAGTGAATTCTGCAACGTTCAGGGGACAACTGGAAGTCTTTGTTCAGTACGTACCCTCTGCCGTAACTCCCTCTCCGACTCCAGATCTTCTTGGAGGAGACGGATCTTGTCCTGAAACAGAACGGGTGTCATTGTCAGACAGATTCTAGAAGAGGATAACTCTTCAAATTACGCCACAACAGTTTCCTTACACGTAATTTAAAATTCATCATTAGTTTATTACTCGATATTTAATTCGACGCGAAATAGTGTGGGCTACTGACAGCGTTATTAAATAAACAACAAACAAATAAATTAATATAAATAAAAGTGAATAAATAAGGTAGGAAGAGAATGTAAGAAAATCAGGAAGAAGGAAGCATTTGAGTAGGCTAATTGTTAATTATTTTCATGTAATTATGAACCTGTAACTTTTATCAGAGAATCGATTTTTGGAATGAAATGACAGTTTTACACCCTTCATTTCCAGAATTAAAAGTTGGTGTATTTTGTAAATGTTTAAATAATAATTTAACAGAACGAAGCTAGAATTGAATATGTAAACATATTCACCGAACTAAAGCAACAACAACGATATGATAATAATGATGCTAAAATTATTGTAAGCACTGGGGTTAATCTGGGGTTAGGCGTTTTAAAATTAAATGGCTGAAGAATATGTTACGTAAATGATCTAGTCAATTATGAAACCTTAAGAAAACGACTGGTTTAGAAATGTATCAGTTAGCGTAAGGTAACCGTAGTTTCTGAATACCCGCGATGTGTGAATTTGTTGTTTAACATTTAACAGTCACCTTATGTCACTGCTGTGGGTGATGAATTATCAGGATCGAAAACGATTTGCAGTCTTGTCCCTCAAAATGGGAGATGCGTTCATTAGTTTACAGTGCCTGAAATGGGTATATCCTGATGGCTGTCTCGTTTCGTCAGAACCACGTCATTACTATTGCCGAAAAGTGATTTTTAATACATTATTCTATAAATTTCACGTGGAAAAATTTAAAATAAACTTTACATTTAGTAACAAGATTAGTCTCTAGTGTTAAAAAAAATGTTAAGCGAGGTTTTGTGAAGTCTAAACTGCTTGTGTTTTTCTCCAGATGCAGTAAATGTCTTCATGTAAAATTTCCGCGAGTAAAGATTTGCATCAGATGTAAAGTTAAATTTGCAATATCGCCATGTTGGTACTCTGCGTTATACAGTTACTGTTCTTTATCTGACAGACGTAAATTCTGTCGCCCCGTCGCCATGCCGATGATACAGAACGCAGTAGAATATTCGAATGAAATTTGATTAATTTAATAATTTATCAAAATAAATAATGATGCATCTGAGGAATTCCTTATTATATTTTAGTTTCTTGCAAGGCATTTTAGCTCTCTATACCTCATTTTCTACAAGATTAAAAAAAATGGTGTTTCCTTTCTACAAGATACAGTAATGAATTACGTAATTAAATATACGATACAGATTTTAACTGGTTAATTTTTTTTACGAGGTACCTATTTCCTACAAGCCTTGTTTATAAGCTGTCAGTCAGTCAGTGCCCACACGTGTTAGAGACCTACCTCCAGTCGGGAGAGGGCGCTCAGATCGGCGCTGTATTCGATGCTGACATCGGCGTTAGCACCTCCTGTGGAGCGGTACGTATACGATTTGGTCGTCTTCTGAAGTGCGGAAGACATTCTGTTAGTTTTAAACTGTACAGTTTATCCTGGTACCGCTCGCTGATGAACTTATTGGCCGGACAACCTGAGCCTTCAGCACGTTTCGTCGTTCGTGTGATAACAACGACGTCCACGCCAAGACCGAGAGGTTATTGGGGGAAACGTCGAATGTGGGAAGGTTGTCTTCCTGCAGTTGACGCCTGCGCCTTGTGTTCGGAAGCCACGAAGCAAGCGCTGAATCTGTAAACTGCGTTTCGTCAATGTTGACCGTCGATGTAGCTGTAACCGGCGACTTATGTTGACTGAGATGGTTAGTAGTGCCGCGTAAGATTGTAACCGGGTTATTCTCGTCAAGTCCAGGAGGGAGATTTGCTTGGAATTCCTTCTGGCGGTGGTTTATCTCAAGTTACTCGAGGGTAGGGAGTTCGGAGTGGGAGGTTTCAGGATGGCCCGTCCTTTTATAGACACGTGAGGGGCAATGCGGCAGGTGGCGGAGGGGGGAGCCCGAACTGTGAGTCAGGTGGGGGATGATGCAGCACGGAAGTCTTTGTCTTACTCTTGCACCCCAACCATCGATACTGAAGGAAAGAGGAACACGGGAATCGAATGACCCAGTTTGTATCGCAGTATCATTTTGTAGGCCTAGCGCTGGCGTCATCACCAGCCCTCTCGGTGCGGTGACGACGGAGGTCGAGGGTCACCTCGCTGTGTCCTCCCACCGCCAGGACAGCGATCTGTTTGTTAACTTCGGGTTGCTGGAGAACACAAGTCTCTCTCTCCCCACGCAGTCTTAAGTATTTCTTGTTCTGGTTTTTCTTCGTCGTATGAACTTGCAATAGTGGAGTGTCCTGTGGAAAATGTCACCCAACTTTTGTAGAACCTGTGACGCCATGTATTTCCAAACATTACCATAATAAAGGGATGTTAGCTTCACGCTCTATTTATCTTTACTTTCTGGCACGACTACTCCAGTTACTGCTGAGTAATTCCTGAAATGTTAAAGAAGACAGCCAGAATTTTCATATTTATTCTCTAAAAAAATGCTTCAGTAGTGAAATTGTGGAGGCAAACAGCAGCGGATTCGACGGACGCTGCATTTCGCCTCGCTGTTTAAAAATAAACCTGTAATTTGGGCAGACTGTCATTGGTGGATGGGTGTTTGTAAAACTCCCACGGTCTTTGCGTGAGTCAGACAATTGGAAGTGTTCTTTTTTCTCTCTCTTATAATCTGGCTGGTATTCAGACGGAATCTGAAGCCCCTACTGCTCTGCTCCATAATGCCGACCCACACAACAAGCAGGCCTTCTCGCTGTCTAATCGCATTACGATCGCAATTCTATTCAGCATCGTAATCGTTACACCGAACAGGTTAGCGCAAAGCTGACGGAAGGTAACCTATCCCATAAAAGTCATATGATAGGGGCCACTAATCTCATGAAATTCCTTCCATTGGTTCAAATGTTATTAGTTTGGACAGATATACGAACACCCGGACATGATACCACAATTGTATCATTTCTTATAGATAAGGAAAGAGGCTTAAAAACACGCAGAGATTAGAAAGTCGCGGCTAGCACACTGTCATCTTACAAGTGTGGTTCCTTTAAAACTGCTTCCTGTGTGTGTGTCTAATCCATGCGTCAATAGAAGAAAACGCCTGCAGAATATATGAATAGTGACTCGCTTAGCTGACGTGTCGGAGAAGTTGCCTGTCTGTCACGGCAAACTACGCGGTCTCAGTGACAGCTGATTCCAGGTGTTTCAAAACGTAGCTTGCATATCAGAATTACAGAATAATCAGACACGCATGTGATAACTTTTCCGGTTTAATACAACACCCTAATGATGGTGGCAGTAACCTCTTCCGAAACCTCTGTCAGTATGTACCAGACTACACGTTACAACATCCCAAAAGACATCCATATTCATAAAATAGTGTAGTTGCGTCATATTGTGATTTATTAAATTAAAATTAAATTATTTGGTTATTCCGTCAAATCACAATGTATTTAAAATAAGATAATTAAAATAATTAAAATATCATTCTGTGTTCCATATCGAATAATCGATTTACAATTGGAAATCGATTATTCGATATGGAACACAGAATGATATTTTAATTATCTTATTTTAAATACATTGTGATTTGACGGAA